CAGGTTGGCCCGCAGGGTCTAGTGGGTCTGACGCTTGACATGCTCTCCCTGACCCCTTTAACATGCGATTGGAGCTGATTTATTTGTGTTGGGCGCTGCCAAGGCTGCCAGACCAAACGCCTGAATTAATTTAGCTTGAACGTCCCTCGCCCCTCGAGCGCTCCTGTCCTATCGGTGCTTGGAGAATTGGGGCCGAGAGCGCAACCCTGAAAGCGTGATGTGCGCTGTACCGCTATGCGGCACATTGGGGCTAAGTGCACTGTGCCATAAGCCTTGGTATGCAGTTGCCAGGAGTAACATGCGTGGGTTGTGCTCGTGCACGTTACGTGGCAACTGAGTCTTAATTAGTGCTTTGTGTCAGGGGTTGCTAATTTCCGGCGTGAGCTTCTTTGGGTCGTACTCTGGCCCGGAGATTGCTGCTTTCCACCGCCTGTGACGGTCATGTCGGTCTCCCTCAAGGGTTCCGTCTTGAATCCAATGCAACAAGCCTCCCGTGCGCCAGTGGAGGACGGAGAGCTTGAGCGGTCAGCCTAAGACTGAGCCAACTAAGTGTCCATTCCCCTCATTGCATCGACTCCCTGTGTCGTGTGAGATTGAGCTGAATAGATCAGTTGGCCCGTTCCCCTTCCCCCTTGTGTTGGGCCAGGAACCTCCGTGCTGGAGGCCTACTGTGTGATCGAAGGGGAGCTTGTGAACCGATGCCTTTCAGCTAGGGAACCCACCTTGGCGAACAACTTCCTTTAGGATTGGTCCCTGGGCCGACGCTAACACTCTCTGGGTCCCGTGACCCCGCCCGCATGCAGGCTGAGCTAACCTTGTGTGGTGATGACAGAGATGCTGGCGGCCCCAGTACCTCTGGAGCACCCGGCGGCGGCCCGGATCAAGACATGTGTTCACTTATGCAAGGTTTAATCGGGTCCCAATTTCTAGTTGGCACTTCGGACTCGTCATATAAAGTGTTACGTTGTGGCCCGCAAGTTTCGTGATGTGCGGGTTGGGCAGCACCTGCGTGCTCTGGTTATACACGCTCTCAACAGTATTGGGCTGCCCTGGAGTTTGAGCCTCGGGGATGGGGGGATGCCCTCTGTGGGTACTCCGGACTTGTTCTTGCTGGTTTCTTGGTTTTGCTAACGTTGGTCTGACTGGTCCCTATGCAGCAAGCCCCCCCCCCCCTTTTGTGTACCGCGCACTGTTGGGGGGCACCCGAATGCATGAAGATGTGCTTGGTTGCAATACCATTGCCCAGAGAAGGGGGGGGGGGAGGTGAGGGTACTGCAGCGATCCCCCCCCCCGCTGCTCAACACCGAATTGACTGACAGTTACCAGCGTTGACCTGCGTGGTAAGGTCTGTGTGCGTTGAGTTGGCGCAATCTTAAGGCCAGACCCGTAGGGAGGGCTTCCCCTCGCGATGTTCGCTAGACTGTGCCTTCAGCCTAATGCTCCCGCTCCATGTGGGTAATTGCCTTGGGGGTGGGATAGTGTGGACTGCCTCGGGAAGTGGTAACTGCCACTTGGGGCGGGTGAATCCTAGAGACTGTGCTCTATGCTGTCTTACGTTTGATGGCAACCACCTTGGTTTTTCGGTTAATTGGGGGCTTGTTGTTTGTTGTTGGTGTTGCGCACATGTTTGGCAGGAGTGTGCACTGACACAATGTGCATTGTGCTGTCCATGAGGATATTTGATTCGCCCACCGATTGAAAAAGGAGGAATGCTTGAGACTGTCGTCGGCTTTGGGCTTTGTGCTTGTCCTAGGTTCGGATGATGCTTTTGGGTTCAAACCAATTTTGGCACAAGCGATAAGCTTACTGTTCGCGTGCGAATTGTGTTTTATCGCTTGCTTCCAAAAATGCCCTGTGAAAAACGGTTTGCCGTTTTGTCACTGTTTGAAACCAAAAGTTTCGTGATGCGCATGTTCCCCACGCTCCACAATTGCCTGTTGCATGTTTTGCAAATTCCTTGATCAGCAGTTTACAGGGTTGCAGTGGCTGTATGCAGTTTGTGCACTGCGCCTGGATGTCCAACATGCCATGCTTTGTGAAGCTAAAGGACGGCTGATATTTGCAACTTGATGCGTGTTCCTTGTCGTGCAGCACGGGCTCCATCGGGCCGTGAAAATTTGTCCCACCCAGCCCACCCTGTGTCTGCAGTCGCGGGGCCCGCGCTCCGCAGCCGCGGGCCCCTGTGTACCTCGGCCGGCATCCGTGGCCTTGCCGCCCGGCCATCACCTTCTAGCCACTGACAGTTGCCTCTGACAACTTGCTGCACTTAAACGGTCCGCATGTCCAGTGAGTCTGCCCCGGCTGGGGTTTCGATGTTGTGTCTTTGTCTACGCTGCGGCGCCTCCGCGGCTCAACAAGCTCTTGTCCCACCCGGCCCACCCAGGGCATAACGAACAGGGCCCGCTACGGCGGCTGCAACTCCCTGTGTGCCATCTGCACTCCCTTCCATGTTTGCTGTACAGTTGTCTCGCCCTTAAAGGGGGCTCTGAGACTTGGTAGCTGGGGGCTTGTTGTTTGTTGTTGGTGTTGCGCACATGTTTGGCAGGAGTGTGCACTGACACAATGTGCATTGTGCTGTCCATGAGGATATTTGATTCGCCCACCGATTGAAAAAGGAGGAATGCTTGAGACTGTCGTCGGCTTTGGGCTTTGTGCTTGTCCTAGGTTCGGATGATGCTTTTGGGTTCAAACCAATTTTGGCACAAGCGATAACCCCCCTTCCTGTACTAGAACCTAGATAAATCAATTGTCAGCTCCGACAAACTGCCGAGCTTTTGGAGCTCAGCCGATGGCTTGGAATGGCAAAACCAGATTTGGTTGTTGAACGGTGTCTTCTCAAGTGCTTATTCATTTCCCTTAGCCAAGCTTTCAAGGCACGGTGCTTTGCTTCCATTTTCATCGCCATGTTTGCAACGAGCATTACATAAAACTGACAGCCAGCAATTTTCAATTGTTCCGACAGTTTTGGGGATATCATACGCGCTGATGCGAGCATGTATTTTCCGAGACAGAATTCTTGCAAACTTGTCATCATGGTTTGGATATGTGCAGCGACCGATGTAATCTACAACCTGTCGAGCCAACCGCCGACCGCGTGGTGCCAGACTGGCAGACAATGCTCTTGGACAATTGATGCGAGAAATCTGAGATTTCAGAGGATGGTGGCCCCTGTTCTTCATAATTGTTTCCCCCAATCAATCCATTTTTTTCATGCTCCAGCATAACCCGCCGGTGCTTTGACCGTTCATGAAGCAGACACATGTTGCGGACCAGAAGTTTTCGCCAGCAATGCTTTCTGTTTTCATGGTCGGAGCATGAATGTGTGCATGTATTGGTTGCAATGGCCACAGCCTTCAATCGCAGACCTTGGCTGAAAGCTTGCCCAGCCTTAATTAAGGTTTTCGTTGTTTGTCAAGCCTCCATGGTTTTCTTTCGATGCGTGGCTGCGCCGCAGCTGCGCAAACACTGCTGATTGTGGCCTTCCTGTGCTTGGGCTTGACAATCACTGAATGCAGATGTTGTGCAGCGTGAATGCTGTAAATATGGCTTTTTACTTCGAAAATGTGCATTGGCAAGTTGAAAGGAAAATGGAAGCACATATTATTGTTAAGCAGGTTGTGCTCACCGGGAAGCTAATTCGCTTGCATTTGTTTTTCTCAAGGTTCGTGCCCGCTCATGCCGAACGGGTGTACGCATCATTAGAATCTTGACTTCACCAACAAGTTTCAAGTTTAGCATGTGCGTTTTGTATGCAAAGGGGGCCTATCAGGCCAACATCCGAGGACCTTGTGGAGCCTTTCCCTACTGGCTGTGATGGCTTGCAATTGGCTTTGCAGGGACGTTACCGAGCATCCAACAAAAGGGCATGGCTTCGACTTCTGACAAGCAAGTAGTGAGCTGTTCGCAACTGTACATGTTGAGGCATGGCGTAGTTGCCTAGTTGAGTTGCTTAGATTTTCATTGGATGTTTGGCTAGCAAGGTGGCGGGTGCCAAGTTATGGCACACGACGCAGTTGTGGAGCTCGATAACGCTGTAGTTGAAGTCGGCGGCCATCTACACTTGCAAGGCCCGGAGATCACTAACAGTTTTGTACAGGCAAGCCTCGGGCTACGGATGCTCCAGTCTGCAGGCACGTGTTTCGCTGTTGAGACAGGCAACTTGACATTCGTGGCTGTGTCGCCAAGCACTGGACCATGCTTGAAACGAAGCCGCATTCAGAGGTGGTTTGCTTCATTTTCAGCATGTGTGTTCGACTCATTTGACGCGACTCAGGTTTGTGTCTGGCCTGCACGTTAGAGATGGCAGCTTGACATTTCTGGACTGCCGTAATCTTGCAGACGATCAGCGCAAGGGAGGCGCACGCTCCCGCGGGCAGGGGTGGGTTCTTATTGACAAGGTAACGGGTCGGATGAGTATGAAGGCCCAACAGCCGATTTGTCACCACAACCATGTCAGCAACCAGCAGCTAGCGGCTAGCACGTTGCACCGTAGCCGTCCCCCAGCAAGTGTCATGAGCACGAATGCCGAGTTGGAGATGCCCATACTCAATCGCGATCGAAACGTTGTATCGGCTGAGGGATTCTGGGTTCGAAGGATTCACAGCCTGCAGCGTGGCTTGGGGGCTTGGAGTCTGCGGCTGCCCTGAATAAGAAGTTTGAAGTTAGGGCAAGTTGTTGAAAAACTTTTCATAAAGGTCCAGGAGTCTGGAATTGGAAGGGGAGTCTCTGGCATGTCCAGTCATTTGTGCCCGCCCGCTGCTTGTTGGCCACTTTAGTTGAGATGGGCATTTAGCTCATGGACCTGGCCGAGACAGTATTTGAGGGTTTGAGTTGAAATGGCAAAGAGTCAATTGGCAAATATGTGAGGCAATGTGAGGGATCTGAGGAGTGCCATGCAGTGCCCGCTCAGTGCTTGAAGGTTCAGTCAGTTCTTTGGTCTTTGTCTTTGTATGCCTCTTGAATCTGTGCTTTTTCGACAGTGCGGCTAAACCACCGCAAACATGACGAGTGCTGTAGCCATTGTGTTCGTTTCAATTGACCCCAGTTTGATTGTTCTGGATGTGCTAGGTGCCTTCCACGCCAAAGGTGACGTGGCGTTGATTGGCTCCAGACTCACAGTTCGCAACGCTTCAACCGGCCGCATGCTGCCGATGCTGAGGCTTGAGTCTGTTTTGCGAGTGCTACCATGTGCTGCCACCGTGGCGCTGTTGGTGTGCAGGCAAATGAGAGAGAATGGCACTTTCCTTTCCCACAAGCACTGGCCGCGGCGTCTCGGCAAATTTCTTCCCCTTGAGGTCCCCTCAAAGACTCCCAGACCGAGACAGAACTGTGTTGCTCTTCAGCACAGCCTGACTGTGGAGCGTTGCCTTGCCCAGGGTGACTATGGGCGGCTGCGCATTTGTGAAAGGAAGATTTCAACTGCATCAGGCAAGCATCCCTCAAAGCTTGCAAGCAGACTGTGGCTACATCCTGAGAGGCTTCTGCGGTTTTTGAGGACTGCCACGCGGATCTGGGAGGCTTCCCGTCTCCCTCATGCCGCAAAGAATTGTCATTCTGAACATCTGGTTGTTGCTGCTCGAATTGCCAGGTGGACGGCATGTCAGCATGAAATAGCCGGTAGAATGGTCGATGATTGTTTGCAGACGTTCGTTCCGTGCATTTTTGACTACCTGACATCTCGATTTCTTCTCTTGTCCTCTTCTATCTTCTTGTCTCGGCTCCTAAGACCTGACTTTGTAGTTTCCCGGACTTAATGATTGGGCTCGTGAGTTTACGATGCTTTTACGCCTTCGTTTTTTGCCAGCTCTCGCTTTTTGGCTGCCTTCTCGATGTCGCACCAACAGGGACAAGAACCAGGGGTGTTGCAAATCTAAACAGCATGGGGAGAGAGAAAATACGATAAGGTACGAAAGACAAGAACACAGGGACATACAGTAAAGTATGACTTGAAAATGAAACTGGAGCTGCTTGCATGCTCTGCTGAAACCACGAAATGGGCACGTCGACTTGCTCGGCGTCGTGCTATGTGAGGGTTTTGACGCCCAAGTGGGTCCTGTGGTACTTCCGTTCATCCACTTGGGCAAATCGATCTAGAAAAGATGCTGCGAGGTATTGCAAGGCTGGCCAACCAAAGGCGAGAGCGACAGCAGGCTCTCAGGAAAACTGACGTGGAAAAACTGACGAGGAAATCTGGGACAGCTCCCAAACAGGCTTTGCTACAGAAGCTCCGTGGTGTTTTGTGCCCCGTGTCCGGGAGGTTGTGTGCTTTCTCGCAGCGACATCCTCGTGAACGAGTCGGAGCTGCGTTTTCGAAGGTGTGCCGCTGGGCATGGAGGCCGTCCTGCAGTCGGGACCGTGTCGGGCAGTTCTTGAGACATCTGCGATCAAAGTATACGTTTAGTGAGGCGTTCACCAGCCTTTTGCAGGAGCCCTCTATCTGGGACACGAGCCCCCGGAATCGGTGATGGCACAAAAAGCACCAAAGCAGCCCAGGAGTGGCAAAGGCCAGGGCTCTGAAAGTTTTGGTGGTCGCTTCGCTTGCCTTGGTTGCAGGGGCTCCCAAGCCTGAGCGGGATGAGGGAAATGCGATCAACTTCAGGTCGATAGGCATGCAGCTCAGTCATGTACTGCACAGAGAGTCTCAGGCTGTGTGCAGCTTCTTCTCCAGGCAGCAATGTATCTTTTGCAGAATGCAGTGCCACCAGCACTGACCCTCTCGACGGCTTCGGGGCTGGCGTGTACTTTCTGAAAGGTAGCTTCAGATCGACAGGCCTGGAGCCTCTTGTAACAGAGAAACAAGGCTTGGCGCATCTTGCAGCAACTGCAGTACGTTGCCAGGAGGCCGTGCATCCTTCGAACACTGTAATGCTTCTGGCCCCGGAGCCGGCGTGTACATGCGGATGGGAAAGATTGAGAGCAACAGTACTGCTGCTTGGCTGAGCAATGCTGAGCAGGGTTAGGAGAGTTGATGCCATCGACTCAATTCTTCCTGGTGCTGCTTATTCAAGGAGATGCTCTTTGAAAACTGCTCCAGTGGATCCAGGGGAGGCCCAGAGCCAGCATTTTGAACGCCATTTCCTAGAAGAGGTGGATGAGTCGATGAGGGTGGCATTGGGTGGTAGTGACCTGGTAGTGGGTTGCGGGGTCCAAGCCCAGGGGCGATTTCCGCGGAGCAGTCGACGCTGAGGCAATCTGCAGCGTTTGCCCATGCGATGTGCAGAGTTGTTCAACCACTCTTGCAAGGCAGCGGTCTGGCCTTATGATGTTTCGTTGGAACAAGGCATCGCTGGTACGTGTTTTCTTGCAGCATCTTGCAGCCTCAGCTTTTGCAGGCCGAACTTGGTGGCAGCATATACGTTCGTAGATTGATCCAGGCTCGCCGCAAGACATGTGTGAGTCTGTGGCGGTGTTCATGTGTGGACACTTTCTGGCTCATCAAACCTGGACCAACTTGAGGAGGAGGGCATCATGACGTTCTTTAACTCCACCTCCCGCAAGAATGGCGGTGCCATATCGACAGCCATGGGTGTTTATCAGGTGCGCATGCTGCAGCATGCTCCATGCTCCAGTTGTGCTCTGAAGTCGATGCTCTGCTCTGAGGAGGCTGGCCTTCTCTCTTTCGAGGCGACTTGGAGAGTGCAAAGCTGCACAGATCACTCGTAGAAGTATAAGTGCAGATCGGGTGTCAGCTGGCCCAGATTGTCAAGACGTCTATCATCATCGTGTTGATTGTGTTTTTGTACTTATCTCCCTCTCTCATTCCCGGTCACTCTATCTCTATGTCTTGCTGGCCGTATGTATCCGTGTGTACGGTCCCCCCCCCCCCCCCTTGGTCCAGATCTACGCCCTCCTTGTCTACACCACTATTCTGCTTGCTCAATGTACCTGTGTGCAAGTCGCACATGCCTAAAACTGCCTAGTACAAGCACAATGATTCCAGAAAAGCACACTGTTTGCCTGGGGTCGGGACAAGCACTTCTTCTCCACAAAAACGAATTGCCCAGGAAAAAAACTTTCTCTCTCGTCCTATCTCATTGCATTGTTTGTCTACATTGCCTAGCACAAGCACTTTTTTCGCAATGGATATTCTATGAATAAAAACAAGCTAGGATAGTTCACTAGCCGTCACTAGCCTCTTTCATATAGTATTAGTTCAATATTTGCCTAGTACAGGCATCATGTATCTGAAAAGCACACTGTTCGCTTAGGTTTGGGACAAGCACTAGTCCTTCATGAAAAAGCCAAGATCAGGAAAACCAAAAACAGCAAAACAGCAAAAAAACAAAGAACACATTATTCTGAGACTCTGGGAAAATGAAACCAAGAACGCTCAACCAAAAACAAAACAAGACCAAAACACCACAAAATGCAAAAACAGACAATATTCTTAGATTCTTGGAAAAGGGAACCAGTAGCCCTGACGCCAAGAATTTTGACACGATCTGGCTCCAGATTTGGCATGCGGTCTTGAATTCGCATCTCCAGGCGTGCAAATGCGGACGCCTTGGGGGTGGCATCATGGTGTCCCCCCAATCATATGACAAAAGCAGCTTTGGCTGAAGCTTCTGGGAATGTTGCGGCCGTACATTGCTCGGGCTCCCCTGGTTTTGATGTGGATGAAACGTGTCGTCACTGTAGTGCGGCAAAAGGATGTGCGCATGCTCTAGGCTTCGAGCGGCTTCAGGTTTAGGATGGTGCAGGATTTTTTGGGCTCGGGTGCCCTGAGGTATCCACTCCCGTGGCGTGATTCGATGCTCTGACACCTTTGCTTTGATGGGTCATGACCTTAGAGTCCTTAAAGCCTAAGCCGAAACACTGCTCTTTGCCCTATTCGCTCCAGCAGCCAAAAGAGAAACCTTGACAAGTGGCATTCGTGGCTCTACATGTCGGCATGTGGGAGGAAGGCTATGCAAGGATGCAATAAGTTCGGTCATGTTCGGTCATGTTCGGTCCTCCATCTCAGATTGAGGTGGCTGCCTGGCGAGCATTGGTCGTGGCAGCGTGGCATTGCACAACCTCGATATGCACCGCTCGGCAAGCCAGGCATGGGCCTGTCATTCGGAGTTGAAAGGTTCAAAGCAAACGAATGCTCGAGCCATGGTGACTCTTGCTGTGAAAAAGCTGCAGGTGCTTGGAAACTTGGCCTACGTGCGAGGCAGAACTTCACTTCACATACGCTGTACCTGTACAGCGGGCTCACATGAGTTCACATAAGCTCAGCAGGCACCTTCTCTGCGGACGCGATCTACCTCGACGACGAGTCGGTTCGAATTGACGCAGCCGTCGTAGGGCTGAGCACCGCCAACGTGAGCTCTCTGGACTGCTCCCGCACTCCTTCCTGTTGCTCAGACCAAAGAAATGGGGCTAAAAAAAGAAATTGCAAAGAAAGGAAAGCGAGGCTCAAGTGCACGGTGCATGATCACGAGACGGTATTTGAGGCCACCTCCGGGCGATCAACCTCACCCTGGGCCCTGCCCTTTGCTCTCCTGGAAGCGGAGCCTTGACTGGGGACTGGGGACCCCCAAAAGCGTCCAACCAAAATCCAAATCCCGAGATATCCCGAGGGCTTTTTGTACAGAAAGCCCCCTGCAAATAGCGAACAGTTCCTCGAACGAAAGCCCCCTTAGCTGCCTTAGCTGCAAGCTCTCCGAATGCTTGGGTCCTTGCTTGGCGACCCTCAGGAATCGGCGTGAAGTATGCAGTTGGTGAGTACTTCCGTGGATGCAGCTTGCCTCTAGCAGTACAGCCTGTACCCTCAAGCATGAGTCCTGAACCATGTGAACAATCAACAGGGATAGCGCATCTTCGCATTTGCGGCTGAGGTAGAGCACTTCCAGCGATCTTAGAACATGAACACGTGGTCACATGTAATTTTTCGTTTTCATACGAGCGCCCTGAGCCCTAAATGAATTTCTTGCTGGACCGGCCTGGCAAGGTTTCCGCTGCGAGGATGGTAAAGCCCAGCTCAGCCAGCAAGTGGACGCTCGGTGCCAGACGTGCCCATACGAGGCCAGTAGGCCAGTAGGTTCTGTGCTGGGGATTGGACAATGGGACAAATGTGGTCTGTTTACTTTGCTTTGTCCTTGTCAGGCAGAGGTTTGCCTGCCAAACATGACGCAGTTGCAGCCTGGTGTCATGGCCCATGCGCAGAACTTCACCCGCATCCTGCACTGCCCCAACGTGCTCTGCCTTTTTTAGCTTCAGACGGTCTCTGTGTTTCAGGAGAGCCTTTGTCGATCTGGTCTTGTAAGGGCCGCGCACGATGAAGCGGATTTGTGCTTTCGGCGTGGGCTGTAAACCTTGGGAATTCCTGACCGACATGAGTCGACATTTCTGCTACATGGTGATAGCTGAACTTTGCAAACTGCTCAAACACCCCAACACACCCTAACACCACCACAAACACCACCCTTTACCTCCAAACCCAGCGCCCCAAGCACCACAACAACACCACCCCCACCAACAACTCGAAATGCCACGAAAGGACAGACATCTGCCCCGCATTCCTAGATATTGAGTAGTTGTTTCGCGTCTCAGACCTAAGGCTCAGGCTTGCCCTGGTGGCGCTCTCCCAGAGAGCGCGGAGCTTCCTATGTGCGCGAAGGGCTACGCTGGTGGGGGGGTTGGGGGGTGGCTTTGTCGGGGCTTCAACGGGGCTTCCCTCTTGTGCGACGGATCAAAGGTTAAAGCAAGTCTAAACAATGTTTAAACAGCGTGAACTTCTGGGTTTTTTGCTTGCTTGGAGCAGTGGAAGACAATTGGTGAAAGAATTCCGGGACTAGGACCAGGCAGGACCGTAAGCCGGAAACAGGTGCAACAAGAATCCGAGTGGTCGATGGAATTTGCGGACCACAAGCTCCGAGCTTGAGTTTTGGTGGTTCTAGCTTGGCATGCTCCTCAACCGGTCAGGAGATGGCTGCGCCAACTGCAGTGCTGCTTTTGGCCGCTCCGACTCGTCTGCCACACGGCAAAATTTGAAGAGCCAAGCTTCACTGCGGTGCAATTCCTGAGTTTCAGCACAAAGTAGGCCCTGGAGCAGCTCTTCAGCCTTCAACGCATTCAGGGCTAAAAACACGGGTGTTTTGAGGTGCTGGTCTGTGTCAAGTGCGCCCAGGGCTGGCAGGCCGAAGGCGCATCGTCTGCATGTACCCTTGACATCAAAGGTTCTGTCAGACAGGAGGTGTGTACTAATTTATTGAGTTTTTTTGATTGTACCATCAGTGTCATGCAGTGGGATTCTCCTGTGCTGAAGTCTGCCTGTGGCATCCGGCGTTTCGTGCCCGCAAGTTGCGATCAGAATCTCTCCATAGGATTGCAGCTGGCGTACTTTCTTCTCAGCGACACGCTTCTCTTGGCTGTGGCGACCTCGTCGGTTCTTGGAGCATCTGCCACGACTCAAGACAGTAGTCGCGCGGCATGCACAGGAAAGTCCTGCTGTGTGATTTGTGCCGGCTGACAATGCACTGCGCGTGACAGCAAGGCAGACGCTTGCGATTTTGACTGCCACTTCTGTTGAAGTAGGTGTGTAAGTAGAATGTGTTGCACGTTTAGAGCATCCCAGGTGTTCTTCTCAACCAGCTCATGTCCTTTGCAACTGTTGCGCAGACTGTGTTGAGTGCGATGACGCAGACAGCTGCTTTGCCGGCCGAGTTTTTGAGTTTGTTTTTTCCTGGGATTAGGGTCCGTTAGAGTAGGAGGCAGTCGGACTCCGTTTGCGTAGCTCGGCGAGGCAGCATACAAGAAGATGTCCGATGGCCTTCGGGCTTTCCTGGAAGTTTCTGGTGTCATCAGTGGAATGGCGCAGGCACGTGCAGATTGTTATTCTCGTCAATGCGGTACCATCTGTGCCAATCTGTGCCCAGGGGGAGAGTTCCTGGACAATGTCGAGAGAGTGCTTACTGGTCTCGCTTGGGCTGCCGAAGACCGTTTGGCATGTTCCTTGCGTCCTGGGATGTCCTTGGGTTTGGGGATGTTTGGGGGGAGGAGGCTTGCAGCTTGCATTCTTGGGTGCATGCCAAGGCTTTTTTTTGTTACCTTCGCTTGTGTTGCTCCAGCAGACGTGATGCGGCGATATGCTTAGGTTCATTTGCTCGGCACGCTCCTGCAGACCCTACTTTTGCTTGTTCTGATTTGGCTGCAGGCGCAAACGGGCTTGAAAAGACACGGAACCCATCAGCTTTGAGCCTCCAAGTGGTTCTAAGTGTCAGAAGCACTCCCTGGAGGGCTTCTGGTTCGCTTTTGTGGTTTGGACGAACTGCTTTGCGCCTTCTATGTCTGCGTCCTTTGGGAGGCGGGGGTTTCCAAAATCAAAGTGAAGACTGAGGGTATACGTGACAGCTGAGATACCTGGTGATGTATCGGCTGGAACCTGAAAACGTTGGTGGCAAGACGCACTTTCCCTTTCTGCCGCCCATCCCCATGGCACATGCATCTTCGGCCAGATCAGCTTTAGCACAGCTATTTGTCCGTTTTTTTCTCAATGTGCTCGGCTTGGAGATCTTAGAGTGCTCCTTGGCTTTATGTGCATCGGTCTGCTCTAGTCTTGGCGGGATGTCCAAGGAAGTTGTGTTGAGCTTGCTGGTTCTTTGCTTTCTGGTCACTATTGGGGGATGGTGGATAGCGGCCAACTCCAAACGCTCGCCTGATCCCGACTATGTGGTGCCCTGGCTTCAGAGCTCCTGAAAAGCTGCGAGCGCTCAGCTGCTTCTAGCATACTGGAGCCTACTAGCAGCGAGCCACTATGTTTGACATGCACCCAGCCGAGGTGTTCCTGGTGCGGAACTACAAGTCCGTTTACCGCAACTGGGAGATGGAGACCTTGCAGCGTTTGACCCGTACTAGCGATCCTATCAGAAAGCGTCGCTTCCCTCCTTAGCAAGTTGGCTGTATCTACATCAATGAAGCTCGCAGTCTTTCATTTCGGGAACCCTCGAATGTCGGCGCGGTGTGACGGCTACAGGTTTGCGGGATCCGGGATGTCGGACCGCCCCACGAGAGCGATTGTAAAAGACAGTGTCTGCCTGGAGTGCTTGGAGAGCTATGCCACCCACGTGCGGTCGTGTCGCCATGTGTCGCTATCTCCAACACTCTGGCCCTTGCCGCGCCACATTGCAGACTGCCATTGCAGACTGCCGGATGCATATGCCAGGTTCAGCCGGGTCCGCATTGAGTACCGACTCTGGAGTCGTTTGGGGGTTGCTCGAGTGTTGTTAGTTTCGCTCACGGCCCTTTGCTATGTTTTTGCCTGCCGCCACCCCTGCCCTGCCCTCATATGCTGTGTGCCGCCCTGACCCTTTGGGGCCCTTATTGAGGACTCCTTGCTACGGCTGTTTGTGTCAGCTTGTTTTGCCGGCGACCCTTCTTGCTCGGGCGGCGTGTATGGGGACGACTTTCTGCTGCTTGCTGTGTCCCAGCACCGCCATGCTATCTTTCGACACAGCCTCTCCCTCAATGGCTCCATAAGACGGGTATCGAGCTCATTCGCATTGGGCCCGTAACACGTCCTTCAGAGAGAGGAAGGCGCTGTTCAGCCTTGATGTGCTCGAGAACCCCTCCCCTCTTTTCCTCTTTTCTATCGTTGTTGCTTCTTGTGGTCTCGGGTGGCGGCTTTGTGAGCACCTGGTCACGCCACCCTTGTCGTTCCGGATCTGCTGGGGCCCGCCGTGGACGCCTGCCCTCGTCGTCTGCACTTCAGGAGTGTTGCCGTCACCGCACCCTCCCAGGTGCAGCTATGGACGGCATCATTTTTGCATCCCTTGCCCACGAAAGAGAAAGAGAGACCTCTGCAGGGAGTGCTTTTGCACCCGGACCTCAGGAGAGAATCTTGCGGAAGATGCTCCTGCGCCTCGTCGCTGCAGCGCTGCCGATCACTTACTCTCCAGCGCTGCAGATGTGGTGCGTGGCCCAGCGGCATCAGAGTCTTGCAGTTGGCCAGCACGATAGTCTTCAAAAGCATGAGCAGACGCTCAGGTTGTGATAAGATCTTGCATAGTTCAGGTATGCCTGATCCTCTCTGCTTCGCTGCTTTCCTACAGCATCCAGCGCCCGTATCGCCTGGAAGCGTGGAACCAGGTGTGGTCGAATAAATGACTGTTTCACCATTGTTTCGTACTTCTCCGGCTTTGTCATGCATTTCTCCGTGCGTTTCTTCACGTTTCTTCTGGTTCTGGAACATCCTGCTAGGTGGAGACGCTGCTCTTGTGTGTTGCGCTTGTTCTTGCTTTCTCGGCAAGTGCAGTTCTGGCAAACGCTCCTGGGCTATCATGGGCTGAGCTTGGATGGATGTTGTCAGGGTTTGCTGCACTGCAGAATTCAGCTTGACGAGCCAAGGAAAAGCACTGGGGGAGTTCACGCAACACGCAATCCCTGGTGTTGCTGGCAATGGCTGTGTGACCCAGCAGCATTGTTCACGAACATGTCAAGAGTTGGCGTTGTTAGGGACACTGGCGGTGCAAAGTTCTGGCGCCCGCTGCTTTGTCAAAGCCGCGACAAGCCCAGCAAAGCAACCGGGTGCGTCTTCTCATGTTTTGATAGCAGCCGAGTCCATGCAGCCATTTTGGCTGATACTCCGGGTGTGTGAGGCAAACTAAAATACAGATCATGGGATCCAAAAAGCGGTGAATGGACTGCGCAGTCCTCTCGAAGTGAAAAGATTGTCTCGTGTGTGTGTGTGTGTGCGCATGCGTGTGCGTGCGTGCGTGTGTGTGTGAGAGAGAGAGAGCGGTGCTTAAGGACACTTTATTTGCTTCTCTTTTGGTGTTGCAGTGTTGTCTCGCAGTTGCTAGCTGCTGGCTCCGACCCAAGAGTCCGGTTGGCAGTGTTAAGGCCATCTTAAGTCTTTAAGCATGTAGGCCCTCTGCCTCGAGGCTTGCCACTGGCACCACGGTCACGCTGTCCGCCTTCGTGGCGAGACGGCTCTATGAGGAGCCTGTTTCTGCGGATTTGCCTTGATGCCGCCTTGAGACGTGTGAAGTGTGGCTTTGTTTGGATCTTGTGGTTCGGGTCATGAGCTTGGCCGACTTCTAAGCTTTGGTGCCTTGTGTGCGGGCACTTGCCATCATTCACCCCCTTCGGCTTGCGACTCAAAACAAACCTGTTCATCCCTACCTGATGGAGTTTCGACTTGTGCCTATGACGCTGCGGGGAGCCGTCTTCGGGTGGGCCAGGAGCGCCTGCAGAAGTTCTTCTCCAGAACGGCAAGTGAGATTTGACAGAAGGAATGCGCACAAGAGACGTCGTGTCAGTCGGGTTTGGAATGTCACAGTGTGTTGTGCCAGTGAGATGATGGCGAAGACTTGGGCTGTCTCTGACGCAATGTGTGGCCTGCTGCAGCTGTGAGCTTGAGATTCCAACGCCTGTCATGCTTGAAGATTCGTTAAACAGTTTAAGTTCAGACGGCTTCAGCAGAAGCGATGCTTGACGAGTAGTGAGATTGAGGTGTTTCTCCAAGTAGGGAGCCATATATAGCAGCCAGCTGCCAATGTTCAGACAAGGCCCCAAGCAACGACACAGCTTGAGTGGTCGTTGTGGCCCACTAATTTCACTTCGCCATGCCTGTCATCTGTATCGGCGGTCGACTCGGTGTAAATTGGGTTATATTCGATTGCAAGTGCAGATGTGTTGATTTAAGGGCTAATGCCGCTTCCCGCCGACCCCGAAACAGCCGCAAGATTGCTCGAGTGGGGGGGGGGGTACGTACCCAAAAACCCGAACTCAAATGTACTCCAAGAAGCTCCAGCAACCAGCACGATTTTTGGGGTAGGGGGGGGAGTAGAGGGGTAATTTTAACGCTACGCGACCCGCCTCGGCCCGACCCAGCGCATCCACGTGAGCATGGTGATTCCGCAGCGCCCAAGTCGCTGGACCCCGAGCAATAAGGGTTGGGTCTAGGGTTTAGGGTTCCGGGTTTATGGTTTATGGTTTGGGGTTTAGGGTTGAGGGTTAGTTTAGGGTTGAGGGCTTAGGGCTCAAGGTTCACGGTTTGGGGTTTAGGGTTTTTTTTTTGGTTTAGGGTTCAAGGTTCAAGGTTGAGGGTTGAGACGGTTGATCGTAAAGTTGAGCCAGAGGGGGGGGGGGGGGGGAGGTGGGGGGTGAGGGGGCTTTGAGTTGGGGGGGTGGGGGGGGGGGGGGGGTGGGGTGGGGGGGGGGGGGTGTGTGGTGGTGGTGGGGGGGGGGGGGGGTGGGGGGGGGGGGGGGGTGGCGGGTGGGAGGATTTGGAGGGGGTGCCTGTTCTCGCCACCTATGCACCTTCGGCCCGAGGCCTCGGGCGGATTAGGGTTGGGGGTGGAGCTTGCTGGGGACAGCCGGGGTCGGGTGTTGTCGCTTACCTGAGCTTGCTTTAAAGGGGGGGCATGTTTCGCGTAGCTTCTGTTGCTGAGGCCCGGTATGTGTCCCATGGACTTGCATCCCCGCCATCGTTTTCTTCCTGTGGAAGTTCGCGAAGCCCCTGCTCCCAGCGGAGCCTGTGTGGGAGTGATGGGAGCGAGGGGAGTCGGCCACGGCGTGGTTCTACGAGATCTCGAGATTGAGGGTTTTTTGGACTTGCGTGGGTATCAGTAGTAAAGTAGTAGTGGATGTCGAAGGGATGTTGCACAGCAGGACTGGGCGGCATCCATTGAGAAGCAGGCGGCTAAGCTTTGGGAGGCCCTCGCCCCCTACATGGAGAAGGCATGTGCAGCAGCGTTGCTTTACTTGACCCTCAGAATTCTGTTGCCAGGGGCCATTTTGAGTCTTGCGTGGATCCGAAGGTGCCCTTCTTCGGCAAGAAAAAGGGGAAGTGCACGAAGGCAATGATGCATTGCACATCTTGCGTTGAGAAGTGAGAAGTCATCGCCAGGAGAATGGCGCAGCTGAATCAGTGAGACCTGGCGAGGCAAGGGGTAATGTTCAGACTGTGACACGGGAAGAAGCATAAGCGATACAAGCGCAACGTGTGCGACACCATGCGCTGTACGCCGTGCGCTGTACGCCGTGGGATTCCCGCGGGAGTCCGGGAGTCCGGTCTTTTGTGAGGTGGGCCACCTGGCCTCCGCAGAGCAGCTCCAGGCGCTGCTGCAGCGCTCCAAGGAGGCCGAGAGGAGTGAAGAAAGGAGAGAGGGGTTCGAAGCGGTTCGTTCCTTCATCTCTACATTCCTACATTTTTCCTACATCTTCGTATCATGTGCCGCAGGGTCAGCTGCACTCGCCACGTTCAGGGTGCCTTCGGTGTCGTCTTGGACTTCACCGCGTCCTGGTGCAAGCCCTGTCAGGCAGAGTTGGGATTTGGTTTGTTGCAAGCATGCGTGCGCTCCAAATCATTTCGCAAGACCCGCAAAGAGTGCCGAGCAACGGCACAGCGCAGGCCATCAAGCCGCACTTTCAGGCTCGCTGCACTTGGGCATGGTAATCTTCAGGCCTCGTCTGGCGGGGGGTGAAAACTTGGCAAGAAGCGGATTGAGTAGACGGGAAACGTCTGTCGGCACGTGTGATGCTGGTGGTGCGATGCAGTGTGATCAGACCAAACATTCTTCTAGTAGCTTGGACTGAGATATTCTCCATGATGGAGGCCTTGGCGGGCAGCTATCCCGGCCATGTGTTCTTACAGGCAAGGAGCTGCAGCGGTTACAGGGCCATGAGCCGGCATTCAAGGGGTATATGTGTGCGCAATGAGAAGTTCCCGCATTCGGTGGATGGGAACTTGGGACAGGTCGATGCAGACGAGCTCGAGGATGTTGTCACACGAAGCGGAGCCCCGGGCACAGCAGCTGAGAATTTAAGGAGCCTAAGGCCTAAGGCCTAAGGCTTTTTGCTTAAGACTTTAACAACAAATGCCAGAGGTGATGGGCCTCCCAACCTTCCAAGTCTACGTCGGGGGTGAGCAGGTCGGATCCATAACAGGCAAGGAGTACGGCATCCGCATCCTTTGATGTCTTGCTGGCACTGGGGGGCAGCGGGAATGTGAGATCTTCGTCAGGGGCTGATGAGGCGAAGCTGGGGACCCTCATCAGTCACTTAGCAGCAAAGTAGTGTGCATCATAACCTTTCTGATTGTCCGCTGGAAGCCCTTGGAAGTTGATGTTCAAGCTGGCAGCTAGACCTGACTGTAAACGCTTGCGCGCGACGCCTCGGCTGCCGAACTGGCCCAAGCCAGAGGACGTGCAACGTCGGCGTTCCAAGCGTGCATGCACATCGGAAAATGACCGTTAATCGAGGACAAGGGCACCGAAGAGCAGCCGAATAGGCTCTGAGTGCCCAGCCCGTTTACGGTAAAGGCTTGCAGTGTCAGCAGGCGGCGCGGCGCACTTGGCTGTGTGTGCTCGTGTGCTTGTTGCCAAATGAAACAAAGGGTATGGTGGCGGGAGGTGCGAAAGTCAAGCAACAACGGAGGGTGGCGCACCAGAAAGATTCCTGTTGAGGTTCGGTCCCAGAGGGAGGTCCCTGGTGGGTCCCAATAAATCTGTCGGCATCACTAGGTTTTGGTATGGTGAACTGTTGGAAGGGGGAAGAGACTAGATCCTAGTTTGCTTGTTCAGACGCTGTTGGTGGGCGAACTGGTGACACTACATGTCTTCGAATGCTCCGCTGTCCCAGGCGGCGCACTTGGCGCCCCGTCTGCAGACGCCAAGAAAGCACAGTGACAACTACTTGCTCCATGTAGCAGCTCCCAATGCTCCCCAACTGATCCAAAGAGGCTTTGGGTTGAGGGTTCTCGTATGTTCTGGTCCTAACCGGACGTTTCACATTCTCCGGACGTGGAAATTCGGAGAGACCCAGAGACCTTGTCGCTTCAGAAGCATAACCTGAGCGCGAACGCAGAAAAAGCCGCATATGCTATGCCTCAGGAGTGGAATACCCAAATCGATTTCACGGGCTGTTTGAGATGGGAAATTGGCAGGACAGTGGCTGGTCCAGAGTTCCGTTGCGGGAGAACATTCGGAAGACCACGCCCTTGCCCGGCTATGCATCGTCCGGTCCCAGCGTGCCTCCCCGTCCTTGCCAGGCTAGGCTTACGGATGCCATGGGGTTCTGCCATGTAGGTTTCTGGCCACCGCTGCTTAAGAAGCCGTGCGCTCACCTCTTCTCTCAACACAGGTCTCTGCAACATATTTGTCCTCTTCGATCACTAAACTATGTGGTGTGCATTTCTCACTCTGTGGCGTGTCAAGTCCGGTTTGGCGTGCCCGTTGGTGGCTCCGCCGCCGCATCCGCGGCTCCCTGCTGCACTCTGCAGGCGGCGACGCAGATCATGCATCGTTCGGTCTACATATGCCAGTGGTTGATTGGTTGAAGTCTACACGTGGGGATACCTGGTGCAAGTAGTTAAACAGGTGTTGGCCAATGATGCTGTCAGTTACTGCTTTTAAGGTTTGGGCACATTGCTGGCTGTGCAAAGCACCATATGTCGCCAATTACAACTTTTCAGGTATTGGATGCTAGCTCCTCAAGCTCATTTCCGGCCGGTTTCTGGCGTAGTACGGGCTCCACATGATGCGAAAGCATGTTCAAGTGCTTGGCACCACTTGTGGAGCTGCAGCAGCAGTGGCCGGTCGAGCAGCACTAGCTTGCAGCTATTGGCGATCATTGGAGGCTGAGCATCACGACTCGACTCACCGCCCTTTATTGCAGGCAACCTGTTCTGATGAACACGATGGCTCATCTCAAGATGCGATAATGCTTATAATGCTTGCTGGGTGTGTAGAAGGAAGTTTCCGGGAGCAATGATGGTAATTCAGGCTTGGTCAGTATGTGTTCCACGGAGGTGTTGGGGTAGTGATGTTGCCCCAGCTGTCGCCTGCAAATTGCTTTCCCCACTACGGTTTCGAGCCGGGGAGCTTTCCACTGCCACACTTGAGATGTGTGCGGTGTCAGAGTGTGACCAGCCATCGGCATGGTTCTTTCATCTTTCGGCTCGTTTTGACACAGCTTACAAACATGGCTTCGATGATTATGTTGATAAGTGGAATGTTTGGCAGCTTGTGTGACCGAACGTTTTAAGATCCTATGCACGGTGTAGCATTCCTGAGAAAAACATAGAAAAACAAAAGCCCAGTCGGATTGGCCTGCCAGCTCGTGGATTAGTTTCCTCATTCAAAGGTTTGCAGTGAGATACGGGCGGCTGATGTGAGAGCGTCCGGAGAAGAGGTGCCATGGCGAAGGCTGGGCCCACTGTAAAGCGTGGCGAGCTCGAACTGCATGACCTGGTAATTGCTGCTGGGGGTTGGGGCAGGCCAAGGAGAAGCGGGAAATGAATGCCCATCCCTTCCTGTTCGAGGACTCTTTCCAGGCTGACAGCCAAGCAAAAAAAGAGTTGTCAGAGTTGTGGGCATGAGTGCAGGGCCGCTGTGCAAGTGGAGAGAAGCCTCTTCGTCAGATCGCCACATGAACAGATGCCGACTTGAAACATGCTCAGGTCAAGAGCCGCGGCCCCAGCCCATGGCGGATTGGCAATCCGAGGGCCCGGAATGGCCCGGAGATCCCACAGTTCCACGATGATGCTCTCAACCTTGCGCTTTCATCTTTGCTTTCCTCTTTGCTGCTCAGATGTGGACGACTCGCGGTTCGAGCGAGCCGGTCGGATGGACTGCGAGTCCATTGCCTTCACCACGAACAATCTCGAGATAGTGCGTACCTTTGGTGCTGAGTACACGAGTACACTGCTTTAGGGCGCCGCTGTGCATTCTGTTGTGGTGAAGGAAGGCAGTGAGATGTTCCTGAGGCATGTAAACAGGCTGCATGCTTCTCTTTGAGCTGAACTTCTGTGTGTAGTACATGTGGGTACTTTGTCAAAACAGCGCTGAGGATATCAACCACATCATCTACCCAGTCCAGGGTGGGGACCAGATCTACGTTGCGATCACCCGCAACGTGAGCCCTGCGGATGATCCCAGGAAGCTCAAGTGGATCCTGCCCCGCTTTTCAGGCTGAACTGTGATGTGTAGGCAGTGTAGCGTGGTTGGGCGTATGGCAGATTGCACAAGCATGGAGCATTCCGCCCTACCCAGAGAGTGCACTGCCTCACTGCACTCTCCGCACCGTTGGCCGGGTGTGGGGCGCAAGGCGTGGAGCAACAAATCTCAGCATGCTTGGGGCCAACCCAGGGGCCTCAGAAGCGGATGACAGTGAGACGATGGGCTAACGTGCTCACTGGGCATGCTTGCCGCAGGTGCGCTCGACTGCAGGGTGAACTTTGCACTGCATGACTTGTTCTCCTGCTAACCCTGACCTGCGGTCCATCTGTCTGCGGGCGGTCTGCAGCTAACTGCTGATCTTGTGCATGGTACATGTGCCGCTCAAAGGACGCCCGGAGCAGTGCATCCGCCAACTTGCGGATGATCTGAGGTCTAAACTCAGTCTGAGGATCATGCTGTCTCGCAGGTGCATTGAAGAGCAGCATGTGTTTGCCATGGGCAACATTGTGCGATTAGCGAGGGCCGCGGTGGAAGGCGTTAGCAGATGAACTGGAGAGAGCACCCGCGGCCGCGTCTTGCATGGAGGGGAGGCCAAAGACGTGCCAATCTGGCCTCCGTGCTTTGGCACTGCTTTGGCACTGCTTAGCACTGCTTTTCTGTGCCGCTCATTCTGTCCTTATTCTGTGCTTTAAGTGCATTGGGCCGTCTCTTGTGAAGCTGCCTCTTAAGTACATGCTTGAGTACATGTTTTGTTGCTTGGGGTTCGATTAGGCTCTGACCTTGCATTGTTGCACATTGCTTCACATGTCTTTGCATGTTAACATTGAGTGTGTTTGTGGCTTGCCATGTGCTGCATGCTGTGGTCCTTAGCATGGAGAGGATTGACGGAGTGCTTTGACATGTGAGCTTAGCAATCCATGCCAGCATGCTTTTGCCTCTGATGCCAGTACCGCGTACGACCACGATCCTCGCCTTCTCGGGCGCTCGGTAATGGACCACTTTGACTACGTCATGTATGGCAAGGCTGAGACGAAGCAGCTGTAGCTTGTAATTACAAGTGCTGGCAAGCATGGTCGCTGTGCAGGTCTATAAGAAGGAAGTCAAGAAGGAAGAGAACATGGCAGTGTCTTGCCGATCGATTTCAAATCCGCTGAACAGAATGAAGCTGGGAACGACATGTAGTTGGGTCGGACAGCATGCAGAAATATACAGGTTTGAATGCAGAAATATAGAGGTTTGAAGATTCTTCAAGTGAAGCTGAGCCTGCAACTGTCTGGTAGAATTGTTGTTTTCCAAGCTCCACGCCAGACGGTCTGGGCATCCTATGGCGGGCTTCTGATGAAGCCCGGGGGCTCAGTGATTGTTTCTTGCGAGACTTTGGTACTTCTGCCCCTTCTGCTCCCCCGAGCCAGAAGATTCCAGAAGATTCCAGAAGATTCAGAAACACCTGAGAATGGGAAAGGAGTCAGCAGTAGATCCTACTTCGAGGATCAACCACAACCAAACATGGATCAAACACAACCTATCCCGCATCAACAACAAGTTATGCTCGGGGGTATCTGTGTTTTCTGTAGATGTCAAAAAAGGAAGTAGAGCCATGCAGAGATGACACAGCAAACGAAATAGTTAAAGACAACGTAGCGGACACAGCGACGAAAGACTAGAAAGATAAAGAGTCGTACATAATGAACCAAAACTGTAAAGCTAAAATGGAAAGAAAGAACCCTACTTTTCTGAAAAGAGCCGGCTAGCGCAGATTGAAGAATGGATGGGAATGGTACGAATGGTGCGAATGGTGCGACTGGTGCTGGCCTAGGAAACTCGCATTTTGAGCAAGCCCTTTCCACCTGTCAAGCAGCTGCGAAGTGTCAAATGAGTCTCAAACGAGCCTCGGAAGCACAGATCCTTTGAGCTTTGACCCTCACTGGCCTGGAGGCTGCGGGCGGAGGCCGCTCAGCTCGCGGTGCGCCCGCAGGGTTTTGGCTGAAATCATTTTCTATAGCAAACACCAACGCTATCTGTAACAGCGACTTGTTATGAAACCGGCAAGCGCTGATCATTCTTGGGAAATGTTTGTTGTGATGTTGAGTGGGTGCTGGTGGGATTGGATTTCAAGGGTCTGCTGCTGGGGTGGTAGAAGTCGTGCACATTCAGCTGAGATGCAGATCGACGTGTCCCTTATGGGGCTGGGAATCACTGTGAACAGGACTTTCATCTGAACGACAGCATCTATTTCATGATGCGCAAGGTCCAAGCTGATGACATGGACGTTTCGTAGATCCATGGCAAAGGGTCGGTCCCCACAGAGTCTTCAGACACCCGCTGAATGTCCTGAAGTCCCGAAAGCCAGCAGAGCTAGACTTGAGTCTAGTCTGGCTGTAGCAAGGTCCGGAAAGCTGCGAGCTATCAACTATCACAGGAGAATGAAATGGGGTGAATATCTCCTGGGTGGGGTGGAGGGGTCAGTTTTTTTTCAAGAGAACCTAAGCTTCTGGTAGTTAACAAGCCAACATGGGCTGAAAGAGAAACAGTCAGCGGGTGTCTCAGCGTGTCAGCGTGCGGGCATTGACAGGGGATTGGGGATTCTTGAATTTCAGGGTTTAGCCGTTTAGGGGTTTAGGGGATTTCGGGGTTTAGGGTTTCAGGCATTTAGAGGTTGAGACATTTAGGGCCTAGGGGTTTAGGGTTAGGGGCTAGGGGTTAGGGGGTTTAGGGGTTCAGGGATTTGGAGGCTTAGGCGTTTGGGGGTTCAGGAGTCTGGGGTTCAGTGGTCGAGGGGTCCAGGAGTCCAGGGGTCGGGGGTCCAGTAGTCTAGGCCCGCGCAAGCTAACGAAGATTCCTGCTAGGAGTGCGATGACCGATCCGCCTCAGCCTGCAAAAGTTGGTGAGCGCAGCTGTGCAATCTAAGAGTAAAGTTTGTAAAGGAGTGAAGGGCGAATTCTCGCTTCAGCGTAGAGACTGCAGAGACGTCTAATCGTCGGCCTGAAACTTTTCACCGGAGAAGAGTTTTTACATGTTCTACATCGTTCGCTTAATGCTTGGAGCACTTGGTGAGCAAGTTGAGGGATCTAGTAGCATCTGTGCAGAGCAAAAGGCATGGAGTGTGCACACTCCCATGGCACCATCTCTGCAGCTGATAAGCTCTGAAGCAGAACTCTCTCACACACATACACGCAGAGTGTAGCAGGCTTTGATGGAACACCTCAGCAGGCATAGCCGACGACCGACTATGTGTGCTAGATATGGACTGCAAAGACTTTGAAAGGTTTGCCATGGGGCTCGTGCATGGTGCCTTAGATGGTAAGTTTCATGGCCAAAGCAACATGACAGACTCGGGCCCGTTCCCAGCACAAACCAGCCAACCTAGCTGAACACAGCCTCGACTGGTCTCTCATCTGGCAGCTCTTTGCACTTTCGCATGATCCAGTGGGCGCCAGAAGCCAGTGCTGCCAGGACTGCGGCGCACCCATAAGGGTAGCCGCAGCGTACAGTCTTGAGAACATGGGCATCCTCATCGTCGGATGTGACATTTGATGTTGACTTAAGTCTATCCACAATCAGCTTGAGCGCGCACAGGGAAGTTTAGGCTGAGTTTCCTGTGCTCCTTTCTCAGGAGAGCCTTGACTGCCGAATAGGTGGTGGAGGCTGCTGGGAGTAGCCTCTTCGAATCTGGACGTGCGTCGAGAACTTTTATGCTCAGACAGGCCGCGATGATTTGGGACGCCAGCGATGCGAATCCCATGCACCGGCGGCTACCTGCCGAGGCTCCGTCTGTCTTCCTGTCGAGGTCATCGACCTCAAAGCTGTGAGCTCTCGAGGTGGTGTCGCGGCGGCGGGCCGACAAGAAGCCAAAGGCAGCCGAGGCCACCACGGACGAGGTGCGCGGCCTTTGGGCTCTTCTTTGGAGTCTTCTTTGTGGGCTCTTCTTTGGGCTCTCCGGAGGTCGTGGTCGACTTGAAGACGGCGATTACCTTGAAGCCTGAGGCAAGGACCAAATGGCTCAGCAAGGCGGAGCACTCAGGCGACTCAGTTCTGTTCTGCCCACGAAGCCTTGAAGCCTGCGCCATGGCAGAGATGAGGCCTGCACAATGGTGGAACAGGGCAAGGCTAAGCCAACAGATCTTTATGACATCGTCACGAACCGCCGCTTTGCAGCAGTGGTCCGTAGTCGAGACTAGCTGAGACCAAGTGCTCCCTTTCATTTTTCGCTCGAAACCACCATGATGAGGCAAGTTCTCCGGAGGCTTGCTCTGGGCTGAGCGGTGTGTGAAGGCATTAGGGTTTTGGCATGTTTCTGGTGTTTGATGAGGCAAGTGCTCGAAAGACTGTTTGAGGCCAGATCGTGTTGGTCGCAAGTTGGCCAGCATCCTGCGAGACAGCCATGTACTCAGTGGATGCTTCTGCCGGGCATCGGTCTTGTCTGTAGCACCTGTGAGGCTTTTCTATTTTCTCCGACAAGCAACAGTCCGACTCTCATTGCCGTTGATGCCGCATAGCCGGCAGGAACGACAAGTGGATAAGGGAAACCAAGGCCTTCCGGGCAACAGGGCATTCGCATGTGCCGAGGCGGTATCTCAACTCCACCGAAAGCCCCGTCCCAGTCGGCTGCCTTGATGTGGATGATTCCACGTGGTCGTTGGTTTTTTCTTCAAGACTTCAGTGGTAGTCTTCATGTGGGCCAATCCATGGGCACTCAAACCCGTTCTTTCACCGGAGCTCTGCACTCCAGACAGTATGATGAAGCTTGAAGGTACTCGTAGGTTTCCATCAGGGCTCAGTGATCTGATCTCTCCGCGCCCAGATGCACCTCGCTCAAGAGGACGAAGAGGCGGAGGAGGCACCTTCATCAGTAAATGGCAGTAGTTTCATGTGGGGTTCAGGCCCCTTAGCCCCCCTGGCAAGCCTGGAGTTTTAAACCTGAACCCTAGGGCCTAAACACAACACCTCAGCCATGTGCCCGAAGCCCGCTCCAACAGCAGGCACCGCGTCCAAAGCGCGTGCCTCGTGAGGAGGCGCCAGTAGCGGTGCCGGCACTCGGTGATGTGGGTTCGGAACAGAACGTAAAGATCTGCCTTGCTCGTGGGCCAGCACTTTCTGACACTTCGAGGCCACCATTCCAGAGATCACGCTGAAAGAAGCGGACAACAAGGCAGCAGCTGCCAGCAGTCTAATTGTAAAGGCTTGCTCGTGCCGGCTCGGAAGCCGGGCTGGCTCAACGCTGGGTTTAGCATGGGCAACGGTCCTAGGAAGATGCCCAGCACAGACTGCTTTTCAGGGGTGCTCACGGAGGGGGGTTCGGGGGGGTCCAAGGGGGGGTCCAAGGGGGGAGTCACGCAGGGAATTTTCATTCTCTTGGCCTTTCGTGCTTTTTGGCGTGGTGTCTGGGAGCCCCGAGACCAGTCTGCTTGTTCTAGACCCCTCTCGGCTGAAGCCGAGGCGAATTTTCTTTTCCAGCTTTTGTGCCAGTATTCTGAATCAGTTGTGCTAGTTGCATGGGATGCGCTTCAATTACTCGAGCTTAGCGCACTGGAAGGTTAGCAAGAAAGAAAGGCAGCCGCAGCGTACTCAGCTCCGTCAAAGGGGAGGTATGGTACTCTTTGAGTTGTGCTTCGGTCCGGCGAGCAAGTTTGGCTTGGAGTTGGTTCTAGGTGTCAGGCGATATGAAGCCGGACAAACGCGGCATTACAGAGCTGCGCGCGCCAGACAGCCGGACACGGTATGCCGTTCTGAGAACTCAGATGGCTCAAGTATCGCTGAAATCCTCCATCCCGAAGCTTTCACAGACAGTCCCGCAACAGAATCCTGCGGCGAAGTATCCGCAGTTGCCCGTCGGAAAACGGAAGGATGGCTCCCACATCAGGTAGCTGTAGGGTCGGGATGATCGAAGTCAACTTTTTTCTTCCTTCTTTTATGATTATTATCATGATTATGATGATGATGATGAGGATTATTACTACTATTGCTATTATTGTTATTATTGTTGTTATTATTAGTCGTATAATAAAAATAATTATTATTGTTATTATTGTTCTTATTGTTGTTGTTATCATTATTATTATTGTTGTGATAGTTATTATGTTTGTTTTTGTGTGGTTGTGGTGGTGGTGGCGGTAGCCGCAACAGCCTGACGAAAACACTACAGTCACCACATCACGCCGCATGAGTGCCTTCCGTCGGCAGTGCCCTCAGTGCCTTCCATTGCAACATGCGGACCTGCAAGGCCCCCAGGCCCAGTGGTTGAGGCGCCCAGGCCACCACCGGCCTGCAGCCCAGAAAGCGATGCCTGCGGCTTCTGACAGCATTGAGTTTTGATGTCTTCGCAGACTAAGTTCATGGTTTCAAGGGGAACGGGTTTGGTGGGACGTATGCCTGAACGCTACGCAGCCTAAGCAGGATTGGGACACCTTCCTATTTTGAACTGAACACGCAAAATTTCCCAACGATGCTGAGGCAGAGAGCCGCGAGGACGAGGCAAAGCGGCGGAAGCTCGAGGAGGAGGCTTAGCGGCTTGCAGGGTGGAGATGGATGTTTGCAAAGGATCTGGGAGAAGGCTTTCGAGGGTTGTAGAGGACAGGCGCTAAGTCGCTAAGTGCTTGGCATTGGGGCATTGAGTGGCTTCGAGATCTCATGTCGACGTGGACAGGCAGACAACATCCTCGGAGCTCTTGCGGCCTGTCGGGCATAGCCCAAATGCAGTTTTAAGTCATGCTTGGTCCATCATTCTTGGTTTGGGAGCCGCAAGTCCTGCAGGTCGTGGCAGTGATTGAGCCATAGGGGTTAAGACGAGTTTCGATGTTTCGCGCAATTGTCTTGCCCCCTCTTGTTTGGAGGTGTTCAGGTTGGCACAGGCGGTGGTTGGTTCGCGACATTTGATCCCTTTACTGTCGGCTGAGCCTTGTATTCTGTGACCCCTGACCGCTTCCCAGCTTGTCTTGTTCAGGCCAGAGTCACCGTCCTCGGTCTCTTCCCCCTCACCCATTTGCTCCCTGTACACCCAGTCGCATCTCTGAACCCGAGTTTTCTCCTGGCTGTCTCTCTCGTTGGCCAGTCCTCTCTTGGCTGGCGTCTCGTGAGCAAAACCATGGACAATCCTTACAGAACAAAGCCTGTGCACCTCGAGCTCCCAGGACACCCAGGTTGGACACCGTCTTTTGCCGTAACAAAGCATCTGCTTGCCTCGCCTATATCCCTAATGCTTTGCATCATATCATCATGAATACGCTTGCGGGCGCTGCAGACTTCGGACGCCAGCTTGTTGCCGCCCCCTGTTCTGTGACCTGGGGGCCGCCCCCTCGCCCCTCCACTTTCTCTTAGTCACGTAAGAAAGGCCATGAGAGACCATGTCAAATTCAAGCAAGATTTTGCATTACGTCAGGGCGGTGGAAGAGCCCTCAAAGCCCGAAAAGTGCTGACGCTGCTTTGACACAGCCAAGGTGCCTGGTCTGTCCGATGCGGCGCCACCAATCTTCTCCAAGGTGGGGGGTGATGGGGGGTGCTCGTTCAAGGGAAGTTCGCGGGTTTCTAATTCGGCCACCTTGCAATCGATGACGTTCAAGCCACCGAGGCGGACTCTAACCGCGGACGTTCTGTGCGGTGCCCAGCCCGTCAGAACATGAAGTCACGAATTGGAAGCTTTTCTTGTAGAGCTCTTTCGTGTTGAGCTCACCAAGGTCTCTGCTGCGAGATCCATTGGATCGCGATCCATCTCCTCTCGAACAGCACGAAGGCAAGCTGGCAGACAGACAGCTTGACAGCTTGACAGCCTGACTTTCCATGCTCCACAGCTGACACAAAGCAGAGCCTAGAGAATGTTTCCATCCCGCTTCAGGCGGGCCCGTGAGCAGAAGAGGCTGGCAGCGGTCGCGAAGATGCATGGCGGTTGAACGACCTGTGGAGATGTCGCTGATTTCTCCAGAGCATCCTCAACTCCCCAAATGCTCTCCCAAAAGCTCCTCAGAAACCATGCCCGAGCTCTCAGAAGAAATCTTACTGAACGCGCGTGCAGGAAGGGAAGGGATCGCGACGGCTCTTGGCGGAGTGGGGGATCAGCAGCGGCCTCAGTTAACAGCTAAGGTATAATTGGCTACAACGGTTGCAACTGTTCACAGACAAGTTCTGGGCACGATCATGAAGCATGCGAAAAGGCATTAGGCAGCTTCCGACCTAACTTCTGTCGACAGGGTCTGTCGGGCTCTCGTGCTCTGTTGATGAACCGCAACTACACCGAGGATTCATCTGCAGAGTTTTGCATGACTTCGAGAGTCTTGATCAAGACTGCTCTTTCCGACGGCTGTGTGTGCTCCAAGTAAAGTTGACAACGTTCTTGTGCAGGACCTTCCTCACATGCCGCGAAATGCAGCGACTGCGGCCAATATGACCTATCAGCAGCTTGCCAGCACTTGTTGCCGACCTCACCTTGACACTTCGACGACGATACATCTGTCAACGCGTCAACCGTCCAACATGACCCGTCCATCGGTACGGTACTATACTGGGCAGCATGAGAGGGTTTCCGAAAATGCGATACGAGAAGCATCCCAAAGACACGGTCGTGATTCGCTACAGAACGCTGGCCAACAAGATACAAAGAAGAACAGTTGCAATCACAGCCGGGCTCATAATTTAGGTTGTTAGGGTTGAGGTTGTTTGTTTTTTGTTTTTTCAGATCGCCTGCCGTTTTCTCCCGACGGTTTCTGATTTTGCTGTTTGCTTCTCATTTAGCCTTGTTGTTTGCTGAACCTACTCTCTGGTTTTTCATGTTTCCCCACAAGCCGTTGCAGCTTGCGTTGCTGATGATTCATGGATGCTGCGTTTACCAGCTTCGTGTGCGTGTTAGTTGTCTTTCTTGAGCGAGCGGAGAGGCCGTTGGCCTGCGCGTCGTGAGTTTTCCTGCGAATAGCGCTACTTTTTGAGCTTGAAAGTGGATGTCGGTTGTGGACCTTCGCTGGTCCCTTGAGATTGCGGCATTCAAGAAGCGCAAACAGTCCAGGGCCAGACAAGATCACACGAGTTTGGGTCGTCCTCGAAGTTCTTCCCTTGTGTCACGTGTCGGCCAGGCGCAGCGGGCTCCGTGCAAAGCCATCTTGGGAATTGTGGTCGGTTTTGGACCATCGCATGTTCGTCACGGTGTAAACAGTCTCACTTGATGCAAGGATAGGAAATGGTTGCGCAGGGTTCCTCCCATTTCGTTGCTGTGTTCCTGTTGAAGCTGTGCTCGCTGTGCTCGTCCCTTGTTTTTGGACATGAACGAATAGCAGATGATGCAGGCCATGAATGCAACGTTCCGCACATGAGCGCTGACTCCACGCACATCCCCTCCTGAAACGACATGCCGCGCTTCTTTGCTTTTTGCTCGTTGCATCTGTTGTGTCCGTACATGATGCCCAGCCTGCTAAAAATTTCTGCAAGATCCAGACCCTGCATTGCGAACGGCTCCAAATGCAAAGAGGTACAGAAAAGGTACGTACAGAAGCCACGCTCAGATGGTAGACTCTGGCAGACATGCCCCGCCGCGCTTTGGTCATAAGTTCTTGAGGCCGGAACGGGAAAGATCTCCTCGCTCGAGGTCCCGACGCCGGAGACGCTGAGAGCGTTGGCCCTGAGATTCTGGAACTCTGCTGATGTTTGTGGTCTGCGGGTAGGCTTTCGGGTTCTGAATACGTACTCCCCGTATGTCTTAGGAGCAGAATGAGCTTGATTCCCATCTGTAACACACAAGGTTCTGAAAGATGAGTCGGTGCATCAGATGCTTTGGTTTGCAAGATGCCCAAGACCCACCAAAGCGATGGTTAAGCGGTTAAGCGATGTGTAGCAGCTGTAGCAGCCGAAGGCTGCTTTGACGCAAAGCGACCAAGCGATGCCCGACTCTGGAAGAGGGCGTCAAATTTGGTGTCAATGTTCAGTGCATGTTCAGTGCATGTTCAGTAATTACATGTCGCGCCTCCAAGTTGGCAGCTTTCTAATCTGAAAGCACGTGGATGCTGTCAAGCAGCATGGAAGCTGTAGGACATGAAGCTGAGTGTATTGAATGCGAACGAATGGCTTTGAACAGCAATGTTAACGAGTTGCAAAAGTTCCAGGGCTGTTCGGCGCATGTGGCACCATGGGAGCTGGTGCCTCTTCCAGTACGCGCAACTGGCTCTGCAGTGCCAGTGCGGCGGAGTTGGGCCAGGCGGCACGAGGCAATGGATGATCTCCTGTGCATGATTTGTGCATGCTTGGTTTGTGATTTTGCAAGGAGAGCCCCAACAAGGCCCCAACCCTGCAACCCATGGCCCAAAAACACACTTGGAAGGGCCCCACGCCCTGACGCTACGTCCTCATGCCACGTCATGTGAAGCCACATCTTTGCGCGGCCCCTGACGCCACGTTCTGTGACGTCACGTGCGCTTTTGACGCCACGTACTGGCGCCGCATCCAGTGACCCCAGGTGCCCTCCGGTGACACCGCTGCTTGCCCCAGTCTCTGTTGTCTGCTACCGGCGCCAATTTCGAGGCTATGTGGCCAACGGCGCCCCTTTGAAGCCACGGCCGGTGAAGCAGTGAAGCCACGCGTCTTCGTGACACCACGTGAGCTATTGACACGTTTTGACGCCACATTCGGCGACGCCACGTGGCGATTTGACGCCGCGTGAGATGGCGACGCCACGTTTTGACGCCACGTCCAGCAACGCCACATGTCTTCGGTACGCCATTTTCTGCCAGGTTGTGATGCCACGTTCGGCGACACCATGCCACGAGCTAGTGGCGGCACGTTCTCACACCACGTCCGGCGTGGAGCTGAGGATCCCCGGATTCACAATGCCCTTGTTTCTATCACACGCGCAGGTTCAGGATCTTGGGTTCTCGTGCGCGCGCGCGGGGAGGGAGCGGGGGGGCGTTTGATTGTTGTAAGTCTTCATAGCGTTTATCCTTGTACAATGACAGGCATGCCCTCACGGCTTGGACGCCGTGCGAAAAGTAGGATGGACAATCGGAGTCCCCCTTGTGCAGTTATAGGCATGTGCTCACGGCTTGAATGCCGTGCCAAATGGAGGATGGATAACCGGAGTCCCTCAGTAAGCTCATTGATCCGTCCAAAAGACCGATAAGGGAATGTCTTGGACATTATCTTGGACACCATGTACTATGTGACACCCCGCCTCGGGACGCTTGATGTGTCTTCTCTTCGGGAAGTGTCTTTGCGATACCACACATCTTCGCCATGAGCTGTCTTCAGGAAGTGTCTTCGCGCGACGCCACGTGTCTTCGCTGGACCTGTCTTCGCAAAGTGTCTTCGCTTGCCCACGTGTCTTCGCGACACCGCGTGTCTCGCCAGAGCTTTCTGCGGGAAGTGTCTTCGCTTATACCCACGTGTCTTCGCGACGCCACGTGTCTTCGCCGGGAATGTGACTTCAAACGACCACGGGCCTTCGCTGTCTTCGCCTGGCATGTAGACTGATCTGAGGAGCCTGAGTCCCAAGCCCCGTGTGTCTTCAAAATGTTTTTCGGTCTGCGGTCGACATGTGCACCCCCGCAGGCGACAGCAATGGGCGAAACAACCTGTTCAAGATGTGCTGTAACATCATCTTCCCCTCCCAAGACACTTTCTTTTCTGAGCCTGGCGCGACCAGCCTTTGCATCGGCAGGCCTGAATGAGACCGAGCGCCCCTTGGGCCTTTTCTGGCGGTTTCGGGTTTCCAGTGGTCCCCAAGCTTGGAGATTCTGGGTCTGCTGCCAGCCTGGGATTTCTGAAGTAGGGCTTCGGGTTGAGGGTATCGGGTTTAGGGTAGTATGCGCATATGTTCATGTAAAACGTATATATATATATATATAGAGAGATATAGATATAGATAGATATAGATATAGATATAGATAGATACATACGTACATGCATCTTGATGAGGGCTAGGTATCAGCCGCCGTTGCAATTGGCTTACAGATTTTCTGGACCTGGGAGCTTACAAGATCACGGACCCCGAATATAGCCCTCGGATTCCCTCATAATAAGGGTCCCGTTTGAATTTGGCAAGGGGCAGGAGACACCCACCCAGTTGATTCCCCAGGAGAAAAGCTCCGGGCAGCTGTGCAACTGCTCGAGGCAGGAGCGGGAAGGGGCAGCTTAAGGCTTGAGAGGTGAGACGGTGAGACCGATGTACGGGGACAGGCGTCGTCAGATCCCGACCTCCTCGGAGATGCCTTTGTGAAGGGAGAAGAGGCCTGCCTGCTTGCCGTGGAAACTGTAATTGTGAGCTCAGGATGTCCATAGATGCAATGTGAGGTCCTCTTCCTCTGGTCCGAACCCTCGGGCGGCGTTCCAGACTTCATGCTCCAGCCTGGAACCTGAATGTCACGGCAGTCAAAGCATGGAATGCAAAGCTCATGGAACAAGTTTGGAACCAGGCAGGTCAACGAACAGCTTCTCACAATCGCCGGCCTCGATGGCCGCTGGGAACAGGCCTCCGTGATGGATGCAAAACAGCTCTGTATAGCTTCGTACTACTCTGTGGCCCTGGCGCAACTGGCCAAGCAATCGCTAAACCACCTCCAATGCTTTTCTGCTTTTCCTTCAACCATTTTCTTGTGGGCTTTGCGCAGACCGTCTTCGAGCGTGAAAACCCAGATGGAGCCTGAGCTGACATATGGCAAACATGTATCCGCTGCTACTTGCATGCCGAGGTGAGGAGCATGTTAGGACGAAAGAGAGAGAGGGAGAGAGAGGGGCAGGGAGACGAAGCTGTATTCCAAGTGCTGCAGTTTGAGTGGCCCCGGCAAAGACGCCCGCCTTGCCTCACGAAAGCAAAGAAAGAAAGACAGAGAAGTAGTCGATGTGAGGAAATCATTTTAACACACTGCCTGCACGATTGTTCGTCACGTGGCCGAATCGTCCCACGGGTAGAGCCGGCGAGAGGCAGTTCTGAATGTTCTGAGAGTGTCAGAATTAGATGAGATAGTATGAGTTAGCGTCCAGCGGACCAGCGGAGAACCAAGGTACCCTTGTACTGAAGCCCAAGTTTTATGGCAGCCGCAAAATGGACAGCATTGAGCGGGAGCTTGTGAGGCGATTTTTTGTTGCTGCACTTTGACAGGAGGCAGTCGAACCTGCAAGTAAGCTGTGTGTCAAAGCAAAAGTTTCGCCGGCACGCAGCATGAGTGTGCTAGGCTTGCACGGTTTCGGGGGTGTGTTAGTGACATGTATGTTGATGGTTTGTCATGGTCAGGCGCTACCCTTACGGGATGCGACCACCCGATCTCTCAGGCATCACGCTCCTTGGAAGCCTTGCTTGGAGTAATCCTGGGGAGCTTCAACCCGAAGCTTCCTCCCTGCCCCGATGCCCCAAGAGGCCCAAGACCCCATGAGCCTCTCAGGTTGGGCCAGCTCCAGCGGCTGCATGCTGCACACAGGGTGTGGCTGGAGGAGCCCAGGTGGAACGAGTTCACGAGGCTAGCTGGGCCGTGGAGTGGCTGTGTGTGTGTGTGTGTTCTTTTTTGTTTTTGTTTTTGTAAGTAGTGTAGTGTTTGGATTTGAGCTCTATTCTCCTCGCCTGGGTCTCTTGTACTCCTTGCCCGGGGCTCCGGGCCATTGGTCTACTCCCAGTCAATCCCGCAGAGTCCCTGGAGCGCCTACCGCATTAGCATGCACATCTCCCGGGAGTGCTGGTCCCAGAGCCAATCCCAGGAAGTATCCTTGGAGCAGCAGCCAACCACTGGGCCAACCACATCCCACAAATGTTAAAGGATCCCTGGAGTGAAAACAGTGCAGATGATCCCAACATATCCCAAGTTATCCCAACATGGGTTTTGTGCTTCCTGAGTCGGCTGCTTTGCCGGATGGGTGGTGTGTGGGGGTCTTCGCATTGTAGGGGCTGCGCCAGGGCTGACACGACGACTCCGCCGACCCAGCTAATGCTCCTGATGCTCACCATTTGAGACCCCCAATTGAACGCACCGGGAACGGAGTCAGTGAAGGCAGATGCAGATGCCGACCATGTATGACGTTGTCCCTGCAATCATCAAGCCGGCGACTGAACGCACCAGAGGCGGGAAGCTCCCCGTTCTCAGTTGCAGACTTTACAGGCATTGTGTGCATTGCGCGCGTTATTGCGCGTTCGGCTTTGCAGACTTTGCAGGCTCCTACGTCGAGCTCTACACTCAGAAGGCCGTTGAGGTGTTTGTCTCCCATTGGTGGGGAGGCCGCCAAGTGTTAATGACAGAGTCTGCAGTGCGGTAACGCAGTTGGAAAGCAAGAAGTGGCATTGCACACGTGTATGCATGTTGTGATTTTGTGCGCAACTAGACTGTCTTAAACTGGTTGCAGATGCAGGTGAGTTTGTGGAATTCGTGGCGTCCCTGAGTTATTCTGACCCTTGGCCTGATCCATAGGCGCTTGCAAGTTTTGGCTTTGGGGTTGCTTCGTGGTCATGCTGGCTGGATGAGAATGCAGTAATCAGGAGCACCCAATCACCGCACAGCAAGCCTTGCAGCAAATCAGGCGGAGCAGCTGATTCATGATGATGTTGGCGGACTGCTTCTTGACCGCAAAACTGTGAGGCTGGCATGAAGGAGTTCTTGCTGTCCCCTGGTGCTGTTTTGTCCTCGCGACGCCCTCAGAAGTAGGGATGGCTTTGTAGTCCAAGTCCGATGGATCAGGAGTATGTCATCTCTAAACCTGAAGAAATGTCGGACGCCAAACTTTGCCAAAGCCTTGGGGTTTGTGAAGGAGTTCTAATGAGTTCTAATGAATCAAGCTCATGCACGATGTTCTTGGCAGCCAGGCAGCGTAGGGACTGGATCTGCATGCTTGGGCAATACTGTTAGATTGGCTACCGGAAAAAACCGGCTCCCGGAAAAGTCCTCTGTAACATATCCGGATCACGATTCTTGCAAAAGAGGTCCAGACCACGGCGCGGCTGCAAAGAAATGGAGCGAAGCGCCGACTCCATTGTGTGTCTTGGACGCATTTGGACGCCTCTTTCAATTTTTGATGAGAACATTTGAGAGCTCCTGAACTGCAGCGGCCGTAGTCACATGTAGGACCAAATTTCCCAATTGTTTTGCCTTCATGTATGCTCAGACTGAGGTTCTGGATTTGCTCTTTTGCCAACGCTCAATGGACATTGTGCAGCAGTTAGCAGGGCTTGCATTGCGGCCGCGTTCCGCGACTGCAGGCCGAGTACGCCCGAGTACGCCCGAGTACGCCCGAGTACGCCCGAGTACGCCCGAGTGCGCCCGAGTACGTCACACCCGGTCATACCCGGTCATACCCGGTCATACCCGGTCATGCCCGAGTCATACCCGGTCATACCCGGTCATACCCGGTCATACCCGGTCATACCCGGTCATACCCGGTCATACCCGGTCATACCCGGTCATACCCGGTCATACCGTCCCGTGGTTTTCCGCAGTCGCGGTTTCCCGTCACAGTGCAAATTTCTTCCAAAAACCATCAAAGAGCGGTACAGTCACGCCACATGTCACATTCACACGACTTCCATCGAAGTCCACAGGGTCTGAACGGCCCGTGGATACCACACTTCCCCTATACTGGCGCTCTCTTGGCTGCCAACGATCGTAGTGGAATCAGGACTGTCAACCTTGGCAGCTCTCTACGGGAGTCTCCCTTTGAGGCGCGTCTGTTTTTTTCTTGTGGGTCCTTGCGGCTTCAGCGCTTTTAGGCGCGTTCAGAACATGGGGCGTCATGGGACTCTGTAGTAGCGCATGTGCGTCGGAGCCCTGCGATGTGCAGATTGCGCTGGCATCCAAAACTTGCAAAGCGGTGGTCGGCAGCTCAAGCTTTCGCAGTTGCCTGTTAGACTCAGCGCGCTTAAGCTTGTGCACGGTCCTGCTAAGTCCTGTGCAAAAAACTCAGATTTGGTCTCAGGTCATGGTAATGGACGAGATGGCCATGCCGCTGACAAGGATATGGTGCATATACGAGGTCTTAAGAACCGGCGTGCCATGGCTGGGAGACACAGATGGAGACAGAGGTTCAAAGTTTGGGGTTTAAGGAGTTTAGCATTCTCTTCTACAAGAGTAAGGAGCTCAGGGTTAAGGGGGGTTTGGGACCAAAGGAGGCCTTATATGGCTCTGGTCACAAATCAGTCCCATGCGGCTCTTCGGCGCCTGTGGGATTTGCATAGAGGTTCCGGTGGAAGGTTGTCCTTAGTTTTTTTTTCAAGGTTTTTCAATGGTTTGGTGGACCATCCGAATCCTTATGGCTGAAGGCATGAAGCAAGGCATTGCCCTTTAGCATGTTCTTTCTCTTTCGCCAGAGGCTTTTTTGGCTTGGAATTTCTGACATCTGTCCAACTCATGAAGCATTAAATTAAGAGATGTTGCTGTGCCAAGTGACAACACCCAAGGTTGGGTTGTGATTTGTTAGTCATCCGCATGGGAAACTTTTTAGGTCCTAGCACGCGACTTCGCTTGTTGCACTGGTTTTAATTTTATCGCTAACGCGAGGCCGCCTCGGCAAGGGTACCGAGGCGGCAGGAAGCAGGCAGCATTGTTGACAGGCACGCTTTTCGCACTCTGGCGTGCCGCAGCCGTGAGGGCTCGGTGCGCCAACGCCAACCCTGGCCCAATCCCCTGGTCCGGGCAGGGCAAGACGTGGAGAGGGGTAAATGGGTAGCCTCAGGCGGCGTGTCCGTCGGAAGGAAACGCTGATTTTTGCATCGCCCTCTTCCTGGCCCGAATCCCCTACGGGCAGGGCAAGAAGTGGAAATGGGTAAACGGGTAGCCTCAGGCGGGTGGGGGGGGTGGGGGGGGGGGGAGGGGTGTCAGCCGCGACTGGATACAGGTTGACTACGGGGGGTACCCATCCCAGACCAAGAAAAACTCGGCCTCCATGTGGGGTAGAGAATGGGTACACTTCCTAGTGGTTCCCTTGACTTGGATCTAAACGCCTCAGGCCTCCGGCCTCGGCGGATTGTCCTAATTTTCCCGCTGGCAACCGCGCCTTTTCGCCAACTTTCAAAAACACAACAAAACCGAGCAAAACACGCGTCAAAACCTTCAAATCAAAAGGGTTATATATATATATAGGGTTATGTATGTACATATATATATACATATGTATATGCATCTGTGGCGACGTCATATGAAGTCCTATGTGGGTGTCGGGTTTCCAGCTGACTCGAAGGGTGCCTGGGAGGTCTGTCGGGAGGATCCTGGAAGTTTGCCCAGCGTCCTCGACGTGTCTTTCTTGTCTCGACTGTGTTCGAGTTTGGTAGTGCAACATGTCGGATGATTGTTCTTGTTTTTTCCTTGAAGCTGCCGTGCATAGTTTTTTTCTCAAAAGCTCCCGTGTAAGCTGCGCTTGCCATTACACGACACTGTACTGGCGTTGAGAGGTTGTTTCGTGGATTGCCATTTGACTGCTAAATGCGGTATTCGGAACGTGCCACCATGAAACCAGACCTGGCGCTGGCTGGCGCTGGCGCATCGAGAGAAAGAAACACAGTCGTGCCCTGCATGTGCGTTTCAATTCTTTCTCGAGGTGCTCCGGCATCCTTTCTACGTCGCTACGCAGCACGGTATCCTGGTCGGGGAGTGCCTCAGCCACAGTTGGTTCAGCGGGCTTCGCAAATGGCCTATGAGCCTATGAGCTGGCGGGAGCCTGGCATGTTTTGAGAAACAAAACCCTTAAAGACTGAAAGCCCTAAACCAGCTCTAAGCTTTCAAGCTTTGCACAGAACATGTCCGAACCGCATGCCGATGCACGCTGCAATCCCTGATGTCATGGCACAACTTCAATAGTTAAACCAACTCTATCTACATTTCTTCGGCATGATGCACAAGTTGCACAAACCCAAACCCTGACCTTGCCTTCCCTGCAGGCGCGTGCGTGAGAGCCCGCCACTGGCTGCCTCGCTCCTGGCGCTGGCGGAGCGCCTTTCGGAGCTGCGGCCGCAGTGCCCGGGCTGTGTCTTGAGAGCTTCTAGCCACCTTCAGATTCCCTAGGCTATCCTAGGCTCTACGCATCTGGGATGCTTGCGGGTTGAGGCTTTTGTGGACTTCTGGGGGTGGGGCTTCGCGATCAGTGTTGGCAAAAAACCACCCTTTCGCACATTGTGTGGTGCTGGGGTCGGCACGCAGTTCGAGAAAAGTAGAACACGGCACAGTTTGATATAATATGTACTCAACAGACATGCAAGAGGTCAAAGGCGTCGGACAATGCACAAGCATCTTCGTCAAAAAGCTGGCCATTGGGGGAGATGTGGCTTCGCCACACGGGGGGGAATCTGGGCATGGTTGCGGATCTAAATCTGAAAGTCCTGAAATGTCCTGAACATCCCTGCATCCGACAACATATCCCAACGCCAGGCTCAACCTTGGACGTATAAACCCTGCAACGCCACGAGCATAGCTCAATTATTGTTTTTGTTTTTGTTTGGTGTGTGTTTCGCTTGTCTGCTGTTTTTATCGCGAGCATGCCCTCCATCTGTTGTCCTGCTTTTCACCTGTGTCTGTTGTTTGGCTACGGGAAGTGGGTGCCCACCCCAAACTCTGTAGCTAGGGCTGTAATCTTATGAGTATTCCGAAGTGTGAGGGTTGTTTCTTGGGCTTGGGCGAAGGCTCATGTCGTACAGCAACCAGTGAACATCAGTGAACCAAGGCATGCAGCTGCTAGCAACGCGCAGGACTTGACCCAAGAGACTCGAATGCGACTTTCACAACTCGGCGCCCCTCCGCTGGGGAGGATCATGTGGTCATCATCAACGAGGTCTCCAGCGCTGTAGGGATTGAGCAGCATCTTGCCAGCACTTGGACCAAGTGCAGGTTCCCATGCCCATGCCTGCCTGCCCTTACCCGTGCTTCTCAGTGCTTCTCTACTTACCCCCAGCCGAGAGTGGTGCTGTAGTGTAAGGTTCGCTTTGGCTGTTCAAGCCAGCCTGTTCGAGGTGTTGCGCAAGGCAAATGCTTGGGCGTGTTGGGGTCGGGTTTGTTGGCGGGTGCTGTCCTAGCCTCTAAACATTGATTGTGCCCTTATGCTCCTCGCATGGGCATTTGGCGGCGAGTCGCGGTCGGTGGAGTTGAGACAAAGATTCCCGGGGGGGGGCTCAGAGTTGTCGATCAAGAGGACGTCCTCCCGATGAGTCAAGTATGACTTAGAACTATACAGGAACATGTATTTCAACTGCGCTCAGCCATTGGTGACAAAACGCGCCATGCGGTGTGCGACAGGTCGATATCTCCAGAATCACTGCAGTCGAACACGCATCACGTACCTGCGAACGACGAAGATGCGCCAAAGTAAGACATTGTTGGGGGTAACGGCTCCTGATCAACGGCATCTTAGACATGTTTGTACTGCGCCGCGGTGATGAAATCCGTCGGAGGCCATCGGCCTCACCACGCAATTTGCGCGCGGTTCTATTGTGATGAAATAAATGCGTTTGGTGAACAGGCCATCAGCTTTCATTGTAGCCATGATTCCGTCGAGAGCAGGATCATTGTCGCACCACTGAAAGTTTCGTGCCGAAATGACGGCGGCTCGGGCTTGAGTTTTTGGTATCCCGCAGTGTTACCTGTGGTACGAATCAGATTTGCCGGACATTGACAAGCTCGCAGCCTTGATGTGCACTGTTTGATGCAACAACAGATAACACAGCAGATAGCTGCAGTTTGAAGTATGTGTCTAGTCCCCTTAGAGGAGAGAGACAGCCAGCATGAGTATTGAACAGGCAGGCTACGCGGTCTACTCCCGAAACTGGCGCTTGAATTTCAAACTGCTGCAAGTGCAGCTTGGCGTCACATGGATGCTTCGGACTTTGGGCCTCTGAGTGTTCGACCAATGGCCGAGCCTGATCTCAGGCACCGTGAAGCAGTACGAGAGGTCTACTGGCTACAGCCTGGGACCAATCGCAACCGTCGTGCATACAGGCCTGAAGGAGTGTCATGTCGTCCAGCTGTGTCGCCTGGGTGGTATCTGGATGCTGGCTTCTGCAGGTTCTGACTACTGAGCATACAGTGCCATTCCCCACAGTTCGCTACTGCTTCTGGGTTTTCAGGCCTCCGACTGAAGCACTTCCAGGGCGGACACGGTTGCATCGAGCTGCACAGGCCGGAAAGTGTTATTGTGCAGCTCTTCAGGCAAAGACAAGTTTGGTTGTGTGACTGTTGTGGGGCTACGAGAACTGGGAGAGACGTTGGGCTCATGTCGAGGAGGGCGACATGGAAGCGCTGCGACAGGAGTTCTGTTGGGACCAAGCGCCCGGGCCTCAAGAAATGACTTCCGTTGAGCTTCCCCTTGGATTTCGGACCCTCACCTCCGACCTTTAAGTCACATGCGATTCAAGCACAGTGAGCACTGGCGATTGCAGCACGTTCATTGCGCGATGATCTGTTAACTAAGAATAAACGACAGCATCTCGACAAAGGCTGCAACTCTCAATCCCTTAATCGCCTGCGATCCTTCCCCCCCATCTCAGGCTCTTGGAGAAAGTCCGTGTGGCACTTGAGGAGCTGCAGCCGCTGAAGAGATCCTTCGACAACTACCGGCCCGCCCGGCGAGCTGTTGATGTGGTTGGGGGGTTTTTGGGGTTTTAGGGTTTTGGGCTCGAGGGTTTTGTGCTTTCTGCGTTTGTCGGATGTTGCTGGCATTTGACACCTAGGGCGGCTTCACGCTGCACCTAAGTGATCGTAAGCTGACAGCCCATTCCAGGGAGCGTATGCAGAAGGAGGCAGAGGTTCGAGGACAGCTTCTGGAAGCTCTTTGAGGTTGGTATGTTGAGAACCGCAAGCAGCTCACAGGACTCAACGACCAAGTGATGGACCGCGAGGATGAGCTTGGCCAGAAGGTGGGTTTACATATGTTTAAATGTTTACGTTAAAAAGTGGCTTCAACCAGGCTTCAACCAGGCTTGAACCACTTGAGCTTCGGAGCCATGCGCGAGCTGAGCAGGCGCTCCATCTGGCGGCGCGGTACTGCCGGGATGCGGAGGCCCTTGAGCTGATGGACGCTTGGCCGAGACACTCTACGCGGTCGATGCAAGTGGACACAAAAAAGTCCTCTGAGTCGTGAAGCTAGTGCAGCTTCAAGTGCTAGGCTCAGCAATGGCCGCACCATGTGCGGCAGCGTGACAAGTTTGGACGGCTTCCACTTCACCGCGCTGCGGAGTCAGGTGCGAAGCTGCGAAGCAGCCATGTTCCACACATGACAGAACACATGACAGAACGCATAGACTGCACATCCAGCACCATTTTCCCTTTCAGAGCTCATATTGTGTCTTCTTGCCACTTTTTGTAGGTTGTGCGGCGGCCTTGGCAAGCATTCTTCCTCTGTACGATGCTCGGGACCTGGCCAAGGACCGCGTGGTTTTAGGCTGCACGGGTTACAGAATGATCTGCGGTCTGTTCTTGAGACCAGGGTCTGCTTTGCGACCTTTTCTTAAGTTTTCTGGGTTGCTTGGCTTGTTTTTCCCCACCCTCGGTGTGGGGTTGTTACAACTCTTCTCCTCGCCCGGAACTCTTCTCCTCGCCCGGTCTACTCCTCGCTCATCCCTGGAGTGCCCAACCCCAAAGTGTCCCTGGAGTGCCCCTCTAGAGTGTTTTTGGAGTGCCCAACCCCATATTTTTTTTGAGTGCCCAACCCCCTGGAGTGCCCAACCCCAGAATGTCCCCACAATCTCCAGCCCCAGAGTCTCCCTGGAGTGCCCAAAGCGAAAGTCTCCCTGGAGTGCCCAAAGCGAAAGTCTCCAGAGTGTCCGGAGTCAGAGCCTCAGAGTCTCCCCGAAGTGCCCAGCCCCAGAAACTCCCTGGGGTGCCCAACCCCCGGATTGCCCAGCCCCAGAGTGTACCTGGAGTGCCCAACGCCAGAGTATCTCTGCCAAGAGAGGGTGGGGGATGTTCGAAGTAAAATAATTTTGCATGCAGTGCAATGGGAATGCAGGAGCTTGACAAGAAGCAGCACAGCTGCCTGGACACCGGTTGTTTGTTCGGGTTTGGACACCCTTTGATGAGGTTTGCAAGGTGACGGGGATTGCGCGATTGAAATATGTTTTAATCCGCCATCTGCTCTTGTGTTCAGGACCTTGCAGTCTTGTCTGGCAGTACTGAAGCTGTCGACTTTCTTCTCCAGAAGAGGCCTGGGAAACGCTTGCACGGTTGTTGGGTGTTTGGTGGTGGCCGTGGATGGCAACTTCCTTGCTGCGCTTCCGACAGGGCAGTCGCCACGCACAGTAACAAGCGAACGCCCCTCCACTTGGCCGCGCAGTGGAACCATGTCGAGATTTTGCAGGACGCCGTAAAGCTTGGGCGCAAAATGATCGAATGCCCTGATCTCTTCCATCTTGTGCCCCAGGATCTTGCGGCGCGGGGTTTTCCGGACACGGGCGACTGTGATGGCACTCACCCGCTGCACCTTGCCACCAGGCCAGGATCTCAGCCGCACTCTCAGCCGCTCTCTCAGCCGCTCTCTGGTGTGCAGGTTTGGGCACGAAGAGGCGGCGAAAGCCCTGATAGGACGCGAGAGGGCTACGGTCTGCGGCAAGTTTGTATCGTGGAATTTTGCGAGAGGGGAGTGAGCTGGCACCAGCACGGCCTTGCCTGGATTGTGTCCTCACAGGACTCCGTGCCGATGTGGCTGCCAAGACAGTGCCGCCCTCCCAGACCTAAACCTCCTTCCCACACTCATAAGCCATATCAGCCTCCAATCTCCAATGACCCGAAACAATGAGTCCTTCCTTGTTTCAATCGGAGCTCTTCCGTTTCATCACGCTTCAGGGTTTTGAGTTCATATGGATTTCAGGCTTCTGCAGGGTGGGTACTAGTAAGCTGACCTCTGCACAGTTGACGGTGCTGAGGGTTCCTATGCGAGGTCATGTGAGTGGAAGGGCAGAGCATACTAATACTATGTGCTGCGAAGATCTCGCAAGGTTTGGCCGCACCTCCTTGCACTGGGCAGCGCTGAACGGTCATGTGAAGATGGCAGAGCTGCTTCTGGACACAGGGAGATGATCTGTTTCTTTCTATTTCTACAAGGGGTGCCGAGGATGAGCTCCTTCGGTTTGGTGGTTTTCGATCACGCAGCATGCGTGCAAGAGGTCTGTTTTTGGGGTTCGTTTTGCACAGCCACGATGTTCGTCCCGTCCTTTCGGCGGGATGAACTGCTCTGGGCACGCGCTGTGCTGCGCAAGTCGCATCCTGGCGTATGCCATTCACGCTAGGTGGTAACATGCCGTCCTCCACATCTGCCGGCATGGCTGTACCCATTAATGAAAACACACGGCGTGGCATGGGATACGGTTCGAGCTTAAACATCCCTGGCTCTTTTGACCAATCTCGCGGTGGGGTGGCGCCAGTGCCCTTGTGCAGCAGAGCCCAGTGCCCTATAGGCAACACAGCAACGATGCTCAGAGGGCCCCTTTGCCTTTGACATTACAGGAGAGCAGAAGCCCACCTGATGAATGTGACGGGGCAGGGTGGACAGCATTCCACTGGGCACTCAGGCAGGGCTGCCTTACGAGCATCTGTCTTGCAATGTCTTGCATGTTGTGACTCTGTGGCTAACTGTTACTGGTAAAACCTTGTCCCTTCTACTCCGTCACTCCGTCACTCCGTCACTCCGTCACTCCGTCACTCCGTCACTCCGTCACTCCGTCACTCCGTCACTCCGTCACTCCGTCACTCCGTCACTCCGTCACTCCGTCACTCCGTCACCTTCTTTGTACCGCAGGCGCGGCCACGACGAGTGTGCTCGTGCGCTGCAGCGGGGTGGCGTCGATGTCCACAGCCAGGACTCCAGAGCCAACGGATTTTGTTCGTACAGAAGACTTAAACAGAGCCGGCACTATGAAGACAGCACGAGCTTTTGTGGGCCTTGTCCAAGAAAAAGCGCTTCGCTGCAGCAAAGGACCTGCGCAGCGGTCGCAATGCTTTGCATATCGCCGCGGCCTCCGACTCGGACCCCATGATCCTGGAGGACATCCGGCAGGTGTGCTTCAGGGTTCACAGGTGCGACTCTTCAGATGGTGCTTAATCAATTTGAAAGACATCTGTGCCAGAGACTTTGGCAGGACCTCCTCAGCTGGGGCTTGAAGCTGAAGGAGACGGATGTGCCATGGCTACACTCCCTGCCGAGCACCTTTGCATGCGCCAGTGGATTTCGGTAGATGCGCGTGACTCGTGGCCTCCTGCTTCGCAGGTAGCACAGAAGCTACCTCTGCATCTCGCTGCACAGTGGGGCAAGATTCAGCACGTTGCGAAGCTGTTGCAGATGAACAGCCGCTCGGAGTAACTGACCGGTGCCTTACACCACAGTATCGCCCCCCCTACAAACCGCATTCAAAGCGAAACTTAAGAAGCCGTCAGCCCGGCCCATCTTGCCACCCTGAGGCCTAACATCCACCTCTGTTACTTGTAGCATCTTGTAGCTTGCACCATGTCAGATGCACTCAGGTGATGTGGAAGCACGCTGCAGCCATCAGCGAACTGCACTGCATCTTGCTGTGCCGTGGCTCCGGATGCTTCTTCTGGCTTGACAGGATCGGAGGCTGAGGTTTCCAGCACTTTGCGCACCTCGAAGAAAAAAAGTACTGCAGTTTGCACGATTCAGAGCCATGTGCAAAGGCTCGGCGAGGGCATGCCAGCGTTTGCCGCAAGCTCGCGATGGAGGGTGCTGACCTCTATGCGGCCGACGTGCCTGGCCTGATGTCTGCGAGTTGGTGGGCTTGAACTCTCTTTTCTGGCCCCTGGCCACGCGCGGTCTGTGAAAACTGCTGCGCATGACTTGAGGCCAATGGCGCCATGCCCTTCACCGTTGCTTGCAGGTTCATCGCACCTTGCCCTTGCTGCAAGACGCTTTCGAGCCCTTGGTGTGAGAAGCTGCAGCTCAGCTGTTGCAAGAACGCGTGAGAGGTTTGGACAATTCGATGCTGTTCTTGCCTTGATCGGATGTCAGATTGATGCCAACAGCAAGGAGAAGGACCGTTGAGACTGTTTAGGGTTCTTTGGGGCAAAAAATCGAGGGAGCGGCTGTTAGGAGGTTTTGGAGGTTGGAGCAGTTCTTGGAGTTTGGAGTTTCCTTGAGTCGATGCGAAGTCAACGAAGTTGTTTTTTCCTTCTCCGCTACTCTCACCCTGCTGAACCTGCTCAAGAAGTTGATTTCAGGGTCTTGCCCTAGGCCTAACTTTAACCCTAACCCTAACCCTGACCCTAACCCTAACCCTAACCCCCCAACCAGGATGGCATGACCGCCTTACATTGGGCAGGGCATTTCGGCCAAACCCCGGTCTCGGCCTAAGGAATCCCAGCAACAGGGATCGTAAGGGAGTTTGGATCCCAGATCCCTAAGCCCAATGCCCAGAAACCCCTTCGCGCAGGGCTTTCAGAGCTTTCAGAGCTTCAACGGAAGGGGCTCAGGGTTTGTGTGCTTTGAAGCTTGGATGCCTGGTGCAGACGCTGTGCCCCTTGAGTATCAGTTTCGGCTTCACTGGGGGCCTTTTCTGATCCCGGTTCTAGCCTGGTAGTGCTGAGGTCATTCGAAGCCTCATCGAGCTGCGGGCAGATGTTACAGCCGTGACACGTGGGACTCCAAGCACTGCGATTCTTCAAGAAGATAAGCCTTCCGAAGAGTCAAGGCATCTGTGACAACATGGGCTGAATGGTTTACGTGTAGAACCTCTGGCCTGAGATTAGCTGTTCCGAGTGGGCTTTCAGTGGCCAGCCTCAGGATATGGCCGAAATCCGCTGCATTGTGCTGCGATCGCAGGACAACAGGCCTGAGTGGCCTGAGCATGCTTGAAAAAGGCGATTCTTGAACATACCACTGGATTGGTTGCTCGGTAAGATGCGCCGGGTGCCGGGTTCGGGGGATTGAGCTCGACTTAAGCGCAGAGAAACTGGAGCCAGTACTGGATCCACAGAAGATTTCAGGAATCTCCAATGCAAACTGGCAGATACATGAGAATGGGCTCCGAGCCCAATGCAAAACCCCAAGACTTTATCATACTCCGCGGCAACGGTGTCCAGAAGCTCCCTTGACCAGGAGGCGGCCATTGCGCTCATCAAGCGGAGGAGTTTCCGTGTTGGTCGTTCAGGGGGTTTAAGGCGGATCAGGGTTCAGGTCTTTGTTGGCCCAAAGCTCTCTTTGCTAAACGAACGTTTATATCATTACTATTATTTTTCATCATCTGTTTGCTTCGTATGCCTCTTCTCATTACTATGGTCAACATTATTAGCATAAAGGCTATTAGTATTACTATTGTTATTGTAATTCTAATGATTTGTATTTTGTTATTAGTACCATTGCTATTACTATTGTTTTTACTTATTGTTATTCCAGTTATTCTTGTTATTGCTGTTTACACTGTTTTTGCTGCTATTAATTACTGTCATTACTGTAATTGTTGTTATTAATTGTAATTTTAACGCTACGCGACCCGCCTCGGCCCGGCCCAGCGCATCCGCGTGAGCATGGTGATTCCGCAGCGCCCAAGTCGCTGGACCCCAAGCAATAAGGGTTGGGTTTAGGGTTTAGGGTTCCGGGTTTATGGTTTATGGTTTGGGGTTTAGGGTTGAGGGTTCAGGGCTCAAGGTTCACGGTTGGGGGTTCAAGGTTCAAGGTTCAAGGTTCAAGGTTCAAGGGGTTGAGACGGTTCGGCTTGGATTGGCCCTGGCAGCGCGGGGAGGGAGGGGGGGCAGGTAGGGGGGGCAGGGAGGGGGGGCAGGGAGGGGGGGCAGGGAGGGGGGGCAGGGAGGGGGGGCAGGGAGGGGGGGCAGGGAGGGGGGGGGTGGGGGAGGGGGGGGAAAAGCGGGGGCCTGCTAGGTGCCCCGGTCCTGGCGAACCGTCCGCTTTCAGATCGTGGTCGCCCACGGGGGGGTACCCTGGAACATATGGCTTTGAGCTTGGGGGGAGGATCAGGAGGGGGGTGCCTGTTCTGACAACCTATACACCTTCGGCCCGAGGCCTCGGCGGATTATTGTTATTACTGTTATTACTATTATTACTGTTATTATTGTTATTACTGTTATTACTGTTGTTACTGTTATTACTGTTATTACTGTTATTACTGTTATTATTGTTACTACTGTTATTGTGATTGCTATGACTGCTATTACTGCCATTACTGCTATTACTGTTATTACTGTTATTATTGTTATTACTGTCATTACTGTTATTACTGTTATTACTGTTATTATTGTTATTATTGTTAGTACTGTTACTACTGTTATTACTGTTATTACTGTTGTCACTATTACAACAATTTCTACTCTGACCACATTGTCATTATTCCTCCTCAGCATAGCGCATGCATTGGCATGGTAGGAGTGATGTTCACCACCGCCAGAAGGAGCTCTGCTTGCCATTCTGTGGCTTCGTGTTGAGGGTGCGCGGTGCTAATTCCCCCCCAACAGCAGAAGATCAACACATGACTTTGCGGATTTGCTGTTCAGGATGTCTTTTTCTCTTTCTCTCTCTCTCTCTCGCCTGTGAGATCCTCCTGCCATGCTGTTTGCCAGGATGGCTGGATGCCGATCCATTTGGCCAGTCGCTTCAATCACAGACAGGTGAACAGGTCCGCACCGAGTAACATCTCGTGAGCCCCTTACCTTATGCCAGTAGTGGGTAACCTTGAGCCCCAGGTGATCATGGCTCTCGTCGAATACAGGGCGGACCCCAATGCCAGAGGAGTGAACGGGAAGACTCCGGGCCAGTGCTATGCCCAGCAGGGTGGCTGCTTGGACGTGTCAGACCGGCGAGAAGGAACATATTGGAACATGGGTCTTTGTGCAGCTTGCTTTCAATGCCAAGGCTCACTGTATGGTGTCTTTGACGAGCTGCAGCAAGATGATAGTGGGCGCAACGCCCTGCACACTGCAGCGATCCATGGCCACGAGCTGCTCCGGAGTTGCAACCAGAATGGGTAGGGGTTGCCCAAGGGATTGGGTCTAAGCAGTGTCCAAAGTGAAGCCATGCCAGTGGCCATGCCCAATGGAGTTATTATGAACTTGTGGGTATGTGTTTCGGCGCGTCAGGATAGTTGGGTAAGAGCACCAGCCGCTTGTAGGTCCTTCTCTCAGTATCACATGACAGAGTTTAATCCTGCCGGTGTGCAGCTGATCAATGGCCTGGCAATTGGAGATGCCCGCGGCTCAGCCAGCTGGAGAGTGGCGCAGCGCCGTGCGATAGTATTGCATTCATGCCGTTTTTGGGGTATGTTCAGTACTACGGTTCTACACGCCATTCCTCATTTGCCAGAACATCTTGATTGGTGTTTCCATGTCGATTGCGGTCACAGCCTCACCCGAAAACCTGGAATCCACAACCCAGAAATTCAAACATTCACTCACGCTGTTGGAACAGCTTCCTGAGGACGCCTGAAATCCTGCAACCCAAACCGAAGGCCTGAAAGGAAACAACTGCTAAGCGTGAAAACGGTTGAGATTACAAAGTGTGTCGATAGACACATGTTGCCATATTGACACCCGCCTGACCACGGACGCCTAATAAAGAAGACCTTGCCCCCGCATCGAAATTGCTTGTCACTAGATCTTCCGGAACCCGTCTTCGTGCATGCGAATATTTCGCTCTGGCATGTGCGGAAATGCTCAAGTGTGCTTTGTACCACCGCGCAAAAACGTGCCGCCACCGGTGCAGGGATGTGCAGGGATGTGCAGGGATGTGCAGGGATGCGCAGGGATGCGCAGGAATGTGCACAGCGGTGCAGGGCATGTTCTGCTTTCGTTAGAACGGGTATGCATGGGACTTGAAGGCGCAGGGGCGGACACCCCTCCATCTGGCAGCAGCCTTCGGCCGACACCGTGTGGCCCAGAGCTCAGGATCCTGTTCAGCTTTTTGAGTTTCAGCCTGTCAGACTTGACGCAATCCGAACGGGTTATGGACACAAGTTGGCAGGTGAAAGAGATTCTCGAGAGATTCGTGGATGACGATGGGAATTTCAACAAGCGTTGCTTGGCCAAAGAAGTCACGCCTGCTACGTTCTCTTGCGCTCTCCTCTGGCCAAGGCTGGCATCGACCGAAGTCTCGCTACCACCACTTCCGGAACGGCCCAAAGCAGGATGAAGAGGCCTTTGCAGCGGAACAAGGCCGAGTTGCAACATGTTGGACAGTTCTCTTTGCACCGCCCAGGAGGAAGAAGAAAGTGGTCCGGAGCCACCTGGAATTCGTTCATTGTTGCTGATTTTCTGATGATTGCCGTTTGATGTGAAACCTGTGAAACCACACCCCACAGGGCACGATTTCAGTGTATATGTTTCAAAAGGTATCATCGACTTCGTGTGCATGCAAACATGTGGCATATACATATATATATATATATATGTATATGCACAGACGGACACGCGACACACAATCTCCTGCGATTTTTTAGCAGAGGGCAAATAATGATAACTTTGCTTTGTCCAAACCATGTTTTGGAGTCAGACTTGCATTCCCAAACCCTCTACATCCCTAACCCTTAAGCGCCTAAACCACTGCGCCCTAACCCCTACTAAAGCCTCAGCACCCGAAACCTTGCACAGCCTTGGCAGATTAGTCCAGGCCACCGCTGCCCATCCTCGTGCGGGATCGCAAGGGCCGGCTTCCGCTGCACTCTGCCGCGCAGGGCGGATTCCCGATGGCCGGAGGGGGGTGTAACATTGAAGATGCCGCCCGCGGGGAGGAAGGCTTCTGAATCGGGGCAGTGATATGGATCGAGTTGTGGACAGGTAGTCGGCCAGCTGGTTTCCTTCATGATGGACAAGTTGGACTGCTCAGTCGCTCGCAAGCAAGTCTTGCCAGCAGCGAATCCGCGAAGCTGACACATCACACGACTTCTGAGCTCGGGGCCCTTCTTGTTGGACAGGTGGCAGACATCTTGCGGCCTGACGACCAGGAGCGTCGTTCTTTGTGTAAAGCAGGAGCTGGGAGTCAGGAGTCACGTAGCAATTTTGCTCCCGAAAAGCCGGTCCCGAACCCGACTTCTCGGCCATACCTTCAATTGGGGGCAAATTGTGGGCAATGGCCAGGGAGCCTCGGCGCTCGACCTTGCATGCCGCAGACGCGATGATGCAGCTGCCAGGCGGGAGGTGTGTAGCCATCTTGCCAGCCACAGTGCTCTTCAGTTCCAACCTCTAGACTCCTTCAGCCAAGAGAACCTAACAGGCAGAAAACAATAATTGTAGACCGTAAGCCCCTTCGGGAGGCGCCTTGCGGAGAAGCTGAGTGTGGAGCTGCCAGCGACTTCGAGGTGGCAAGGGAAGCTACTCGCCAATGGTGACGAGGCGCCTTGATGTGATACTATAGGCCCAGCCTCAAACGCTCCAGTCCCCAGACGTTCAAGAAGCCCAAAATGCTCAGTGTTTTTTAAACTGCAACGTCCTTAAAGCATGAAAGTGCTAAGCTGCCCAACCGTGTGTGGAAACTCATTCAGCTGGATGCAGGTGTGCATCAAGCAAGCCCTGCAGCTGGGAGAGCACGAGCTGCCCAAAGGCCATTGGAAATCATTGGAATACAATTGTGCTCTCCAATGCTCTCTGGTTCCACACAGTCTTGAAGATGGCCCTACGGCTTCAGTCCTTCAGTCCTTTCAGAAGGTATGCTCGGAAGAGTCAAGAGTGCATCTGACAGTGCGGTGGAGCTGCAGCCCCTTGGTTGCATGGAGCCCCAAAAGAAGCGTAACCCTAAATCCCTAAACCTACTGCTCAGACTCATGAACAGGTGCATGCCAAGAGCACCGTAGGTGACACAGCTCCGGTTTCTTTGCCCGGCGCCAAGCCTGATGATCTCACGCTACAGGAGCCTCCATTTGCCTTTTCCATCATCTTGTTCTGTTGAACGATCCAACTTTGGAAAACCTCCATTACATTCCAATTGTGATGGTACAGGAACTGCATGGAACTGCTAAAGATTCTTGCGTTTTTCATGAGCATCTGTTGAAATGATTGTATACCCTTTTTGTTAGATATATCATCTAAGAATGCAGCACCCTAACTTCTTTTGCACATCAACAGAACATAACAGAACACATTTCCAAACCGGAATGTGTCACCACGCGTCACAGTTTTTCAAAGCAGAATGAGATTCCGGGAACGCGCAATTTGATTTTATGCCAGACTCTGGACAGTCGCTATGTAGCGGAGATGGGCTGATTTTGTTGCATTCCGCACCTCGTTCTCTGCTTCTTTGGCGAGGTTCACAGTGGGCACTGCAGGATGGCTGACTTGCACCGACTTCTCGCAGCACTGCGTCGGCAAGCGGAGGTGCGGTGCCGAAACGTTCGATTTACCTCAGTTGGCCTCACTTGTCACTTCGGGTTGGGGCTTATCTGTGAAGACTCTCCATCGATTTCTTCGTGTTTGCTCGCTTGCTTGGGAGGTATATCGTCAATGCCTCCAACTTCCGCAAACGCTTGAAGGGCAATCGAAACCTGCGGCCGCTCATCATGCATGTCGTGTTACATGTTGCCGCTTTCATTCCACGCAGCAGATAATCCGGCTTTCGTCTGGCAATGCTGTACTGCCGAATGCGTCAATCAGCAATTCCGAGTGAGGTTGTCGAAGCAGGCCTTCATGCCCGCAAGTCTGCAGCAGCTGAATTCCACAGAAGACGACGATGCTGTTCCAGAGTTGCCGTCTGAGAGTCGCACGTCTGATGGACCCAGAGGGTGTATTTTACTTTTAATTCCGAATGAGCGACCCCGCCAGATGGAGAAGGCCTCGTTCAATGCATGGATCATTGCGTTTAGACTGTTAGTGTCAGCCCCAGGGAAGCAAAACAGTCCTGGCGAGGCGCCCTAAATGCTCAAAACAAGTTCCTACAAAGGTTCGGCAGATGTGGAGGAAGGCTGTGCCGCTCAGCTGCAGCTTTTCTCGCTCTGTTCATGTCGAAAAACCCTACAGCTCTACACCATTCTACACCCAACACATCCCAACACCTGGAGCCCTTTCCAGACCATCGTCACCAGGTTCTGGAGGGCTTCGACCTCGGCGACGGTTGGCTTCAGCTGTGCAACGGTGGCTGGCTGCGACTGGCTCGTGATTGAGTCTACGAGTTGAAGAGGACATTTCTGAAGAGGACATTTCAGGACTTCAAAACATCGGCCCGAAACGATTCAGCCGGCACCCTGCTGCTTCGATCCCAAGACCCCGAAGCCTTCTTTGGGGGGGGGGGGGCCGAAGCTTTGAGGTAGTTTGACATGTCTCAGTTTCAGGCCCACGCATATCCAATCCAAGAGCTCCAGGGGCATCTCGGTGCCCTGGCATCCAAGCGTGTGACTCGATTCGTCTGAGCCCACCTGAGCCACAAGAGGTGCTCACAACGTGGAGTGGTCCATCCATCAAGATTGGTGATGTCGTGAAGAGCCTCGGCTTTTTTAAAATACGGCTTTCAGGGCCTTGGACGCGTGGCCGCTGGATGTGGCCTCAAGATGCCTCAAGACTGTGCTGGAGTCGACTGTGCTGTAGTGTTTTACTTTCAGCATGATGTGCTGAGGACGATCAAGGAGCTGACGCTGCCTTCTAATCGGGCGGCTTACCAGCACCTGGATAACAATGCTTTCAGACGCTGCGCTGCCACGCCCGCGCACAGTAGCAAGGCGGTGAGAAGGCACGTAACATCTCACGAGCTTGATAGCGTCCAGATATGTCCAGATGGAGTGGAACAGAACAGTTGCCACTGTTGCCACACATGGCCAGAAAGTGTGATGGGTGCTGTGGTCCAGGTCTTGAAGAAAGATTCAATTGGCATAGTCCAACGCCTGATCTCGGATGCAGCAAGAGTGAAGTTTGACGGGGCCAAAGGCTGGGAGACACGACGAGACCAGCTGGTAGGTTCGGTAGATGTCGGTAGGGCAGGCTCCGTGGGTATTCGTAGGGTGCTCGTCATTGCAGTGGGCAAGCGCTCTGCAGGGACTCTGTCGCGGGCGCTTGATGCAGGCGGTTCCGCGATCTCGTTGCCTGACACTGCCTTTGCTGAGCATGTGGAAGTGACGGGCTATCGTTGCATCATGGAGGCCAGAATGTTCCGCAGACAGAATGTTCCATTTTTATCCTAAGTAGTCCGCAATTCCTGGCTGGCCTGTCCTTCATCATCCCAGATCCTTCGACCAGGAGCCACCCATGGAAGGCCCGCCAGAAGGCTTCCTTGCTGCTTGTTTGCACGCAACACGCTTCTCGCATCGTCTCGCAGCGCTTAGTCGGGGGAGCTCGGATTGCTTAGGTCAAACACACACATCTTGGCTGCGGAGCTGTGCAGCTCCTCAAGATCTCGCGGCACGTGGGGGCCTCGTGACTCTACACTTATGCCGCTCATGCCAGCCCCAAATCGGCATATCCTGGCACTGAAACATGGAAAGCTCTCTCGCTCTCTCTATCCGGCCTCCCTCCCCTCCCCTCCCTTCCCCGCTCCCCCCCATCCCTATTGCTCCTCTAACTTTACTGAACTGAAACTCCCAAACCCGAATCCCTAAATATTCGAATGATTTTCTCCAAATCCGGATTTCTATGGGGCGTTGAAGGGGTTTCTGTGCGAAGCCGCAGCGGAAGCTGTTCAAAAGGCGACCATGCTCACTCCGAGGATTCTGAGCGAGGCTGGAAAATCGGCTTCTCCGTCATCTTCGGTGATGGCTCACGGAGCCAGCCACCTGACAGGACATTTGTCGAATTTTGTCGGAGTGACGCTGGGCGTCAGAACTGCTCCAGCAGCTGGTTCTTTGGGGATGTTTGCCGGTTCATTCAGGCTGCCTGCAGATCGTCGTGGTATACGACTCATTGCCGTGCCTCCCCGCCCCGAGGACTGTGATGGATCGGAGCGCTTCGGTTTTGAGCCACATTGTTGATCAAGATAGCGGTGCAGAAGAGAGCAGTTCTTTGCAATTTTCACCGAATTGCATGCTTTCAGGAAGTTGCTGCCTACCTGCAGCTGAAGGAGCAGACGCTGCGACGGAAGATCCCGGACTCAGCAGCGGCATAAACAGGCGGACGTGCGCGAATGCTGGGAATCAATCACATCGGCTCTTTTTCGTTGTGCTGTGCATTCAGGGCAATGCATGATGAGGATCCGGGGTCCAAGAGCTATCGCAGAGGTGGTGAGGACCTGGACAGTGTGAGGCTTGAACTCCGAAGCTGAGCTGGCCTCGATGGCTCCTTTGTAAGATGATCAATGCACCACTCACATGCCATGCGCAACAGCCAAGCTGC